TTATATTCTTCTATAGCTTAGTTACATTCTATTATAAGATAATCCCTTTCTATATAGAATCGATTATATTCCTCTGTAATTTGTTTAATAGCTTCCTTAGACTTTCTATTCTCTATAATTAAGATTTAGATTTTATCTTATATTATCCAGTTATTATCTTCAACTATTTAGAATTGATTTACTAGTTTAATAAATTATTCCTTACTAGGAGTTATATATATAATCTCTCGGATAGAAGGAGTCGAAGGACCCTCCTTAGGGCTATTATATTTAATACTTTTAATTAGGTCCTATATTCTAGTAGGAGTCGGGGTTTTAAGGTTTACAGCTTCTTCTATAAGGTAATCCGGCACTATAGGTTATTTTCCCTTACTAATCGCGGTAATCTATCGTAGTAGAACCATAGCTGGTCCTATTCTAGTTAGTTTCGGGATAGGTAGGGTGAAACCAGACTAGGACCAATTGTAATGATTATCTATATAGTCGTACGGCTTCGAAAGTTTGGGTTTAGGGTGATACTTGATATTATATTATATACCAGGTTCTCTTTAGTAGAAGAAGTGTATTGCTAACGAAATATCAAGTATGAAGAGGAAAAGAAAAGAAAACAAAACGTAAAATAATAAACAGGTCTTTATACCCCTTCGGGGGCATAACCCTATCCTTGCTTATCCCAGAAGGAAGGTACGATTGCTTTTGCAAACGAGAAGGAACGACCAACGGTACGATCCTAAACGGGAAGGTACGAGTTCTTCCAGTGCCAATCGTGACATATAGTATATATCGACTTTATTACTAGTCTACTAGTTTCTAGCTATAATTTTAATATAGTTATATTTATAATATATAAATTCACGAAGTAACTAAGGGCAATACTAAGTAAAACTACCTAGTTAAGTAAAGACTAGGCCTTAGCTATACTAGTATACCTATAGATTATAGATTAGGGCCTACCGATAGTATAGATTAGTAATCGCGATCCTAAGTTTACTAAAGGCTTCTAGTATATAATATTCATAGTATTATAAGTATCCCTATTCTATACTATAGTATACTATTTAGTCTATACCTAGATAGATAGCTAGAGTAAAAGGATTAATTAGATAGTAGAAATTTAGCTCTACTACTACTATATCTTATACCTAGTAGATAACTAGCTAAATAGAATCCTACTACTAGTTATAATAATAAATAGCGCGGTCTCTATAGTAACTAAATAGATACTATATAAACTTATATTTAGGTTCAATATATATATACCCTAGAACCTCCTATAGACAGCTCTCTATAGCTATAATAGCAGAAACTCTATAGATACAGCGCAGTAAGATATATTAGAATACCTAAAGTATATAGTAATAAAGATAAAAGAGTACTATAATAATACCTATAAACTAAAATACTTCGCAGTAGGAGATAAAGTCCTCTTATAACTATAGAAAGGGTATAATATACCCTTAAACAATACCCTTATAAAAAAGCTAGGGTAGTAATATACTAGATATTTCACTATCCTTAAGTAAATTAGCCGCTTAGCCTATAAGCTCAACCTACTATAGAGCTAGAAAATCTATCTAATTATTAGTATTAAATACCTAGAGCCTATACTATTACTAGACCTATTTAAATAAGAACTACCTAACCTTATAGTAACTTATAATAAACGGTTTCTAATAGATACCGATAGATATAAGGTAGTATAGGTCCTTAATATATATATACGCTAAGTAGATCAGTATAGAATACCGCGAATAGATTATCTTATTTAATAGTATAGAGAGAACCTAGAGAAAGTAGAGTAGGTTAAGGAATAGGATACTATAGGAGTAGAGGATATAATTAGGGAATTCAAAGAGAGGTAACTATAGTATTAGGCTAAAGCCTCTTATTATTTATCTATATTCTATATAGCTTAAAGAAAGGGGTACCTACTACTATCGCAAACATTTTACCTACTGCTCTTACTTATAAGTCACCTTATACCTCTATCGAGCTTTACAATACCCCTCCTTAATTATAAGTATTCTTAACTCTTACTTATAAACTTCTACCTACCTACCATTAGTACCTATTACCTCTATATTCTTAATAATATTATTACTAAGATAGCGCTACCGCGTAGTCTAGGATAGGAAAAGCTTATCTATTATTTAAAACTACTATAGGAATAGTATATTATAGAACTTTAAAAGTAAGATAGTAAAGGATTCCTTAAGTAATCTAATATCTAGACCCTACGAGATAGCGATAGGAATTACTATATAACTTAGAAAGGCTAATAAGACAGCGATCCTTACTAGAAGATTAGAATACTCCTAGAATATAAAGAGGACGTTATTAACCTAACTACTAGTAAGATTATCTAGCTACCCTATAATATATACCTTATTAATAATACAACTATTATATCGCTCTATATCTATAATAAGATATACTATATAATAAACCTTACCTAGGACTTTAACTCTAGGGAAGAAGTATATAAGATAAGAGTACTACTTAGGCTAACGATCATAATTTCCTAGAACAGCCTATTAATACTCCTAGTCTAGAGAGGATAGTATATCTTTATAGGGAGATATAATATATCTAGTTAGTTACTATACCATAGCCCTAGAGTAGACCTAAGCTTTACTAGAGGGCTTATATTACTAAAGGAAGACCTATAATATTCCCTTAATATTATTCTTAAGTACTATAGTCTAATAGAGCTAAATAAAGAAGCTACGCTATATCATATATAGGAATATATAGCGCTATATAGCTATATATTCTTCGAAGGTATATAGTAATACAATTTACCTATTATAATACTATCTATACATTTAAACGAAGTATTTATAATATCCCTCTAGGACTAAGCACAGTTCTACCTAAAGATATACCATAATATAGACCCGTCTAATCCTAGCTAAACTATAGCTAACCTATAAGACCCTAATAACTTAAAGGGTAAGCGATATAATATAGATAGGATATAGCCTAGAGAAGCTTCTACTAATACCTATATAGGAACCCCGATTATATAGGAATCCTCTGCCGATACTTATATCTAAGTGAAACGTACAATCCTTGCACTAAGTACTAATAGATTAAAGAGGGTATACTAGTAACTATCTACTACTATAAGTCTTCTAGACTAAACTCAAATAGATTAAACCTAAATATAAGGTATTAGAACTATCAGCCTTAACGAGATCTCTCTACTAGAAATAAATATACTTAAGCTTAACGAGGATATTACTATAGTATAGGTAATATATAAGCTAGTAAGGATAGATACAAGTATAATATACCCTAAAATTATAAAAGTAGTATACCGATTAGAAGCACTAGCTATAGTATATATAGTAAGCCTAAATACCTTAGCACTCCTATAAAACATCCGCTAATATAGGCTTTCTAACATAGACGCAGACACATTATTTATACTTATATATCTACCTATATTACTAATATATATATAAGCTGCGCTAGCTAACGCTTATAACCCTAAAGAGAGAGTAGTAGTTAGAGACGCGCTCCACTTTATCGTAGGATAGAACGCATTCGTAAACGCAATCGATAGCTCTGAAGGGCCTACGACCTAACTCTTCCGTTAACTTAGCCATAACTAGGAGATAGGAAATCCTAATATTATTACAAACTCGCCCAAGGGTACTTAGGAACCCAGAGCCCCTTAAGCGGTAGCAATACCCCGGCACCCAGGGTACTGCTACTATTCTTCCAGGTCAATGACGTTCCCGGAAGCCAGGAACGCCCATACCCTCTTCAGCCTCCCAGAAGCCAGGAGCGCTGATAGATCCCCCTTTTTTTTCCTTTTTTGCTATTATCACTTTCTTTTTATCGCACTGACACGCCGACCGGGGCGGTCGGATTTTAAGCAGGGGCAGATGTTACCCACAGAGGGGTACACGTGACCATAATGTAACTAGTACCCCGCTGCTGTAGCTAGCTAATACATCATCATCATTCCCCTGAGCTACCAGTGTGTCATTCTGCCTGGGTATTGACTTGGAGGTAGACGTTATAGTGACGGGGCTTGTCCTTGACTTCTTCGCCCACGTCAATCCGACATTGATATTCTTTATCATTCTTGTGTGTTCGCGTGGGTAGAAGTCGGCCGCCTGGTGTTACTTTTAAAAAGCCTTGCCAATTGCTTCGGGTCAACGATGACTTTGTCGCCGAACTTTGTCAAAATTCTAGACCCATACCTCGCTGTCAGGGTAGAAACGATGCCCTGACGAGTAGGCAGGCGTGGGGGTCCGTGACGAAGCCTTGGGAGTGATCCCGGGTGGAACGGCCCCTAGTGCAGATCTCGGTGGTAGTAGCAAATACTCAAATGAGAACTTTGAGGACTGAAGTGGGGAAAGGTTCCATGTGAACAGCAGTTGGACATGGGTTAGTCGATCCTAAGGCATAGGGAAGTTCCGTTTTAAAGGCGCCCTCGTGCGCCGTTTGCCGAAAGGGAAACCGGCTAACATTCCGGCACCTAGATGTGGATTCTCCACGGCAACGTAGCTGAACGCGAAGACGTCGGCGGGGGTCCTGGGAAGAGTTCTCTTTTCCCCAGGCCTCAAAAAGTGGCTAAAGAAGAACCCGCACGGGAAAACTTGCAACCGCACAACTCAATCGCAACGTTGCAGATGAAGATAAAGACAAAGACGGCAAGCCCCTAGTGTTGGAATTGATTGAAAAGGGAAAGAAAAAGATCTGAAACAGCCCAGGTTAGACCGGCTGCGGTGGAAAAGGCCATTTTCTCGAGGCTACTTCAGGCGTGATCTCTTCGCTCATTGTCTCGATGAACATGTTGTGAGTTCCATGTTCGCATTTTTCGTTGCCTCCCATCGGTCGTTTGGAACCCAGCCAGAAATGTCGGTGAAAAGCTGGCTCTTCACGAGATCCCACAAATAAAGCATATCTTCATATTGTACTTGTTCGGCGTGTGCTTGACATTCATTTTCTGTAATCAGAAAGGGGCAGTTGACTGGGAGTCCTAGTTAACTGCGAAATCGAACAATACTGTACATACGAAATTTTAGAGTGGCCACTTCAGAAGCCGTGGTCAACGAGGGTGGACCCGCATTCGAACAAGGGATTTTCGCTATGACCTCGTTGCCATCGTCCATTGCAAGAAGTAGAGCTTTATTGAAGTTTCCTTCCAGCTTGACAACACGAACACACTTCGTCGCATCACCGAAATATGATGCCGCTAGGCGACAGAGACCATCGAGATCAAACTTCACGAAACGCAGCTGCTGTTGGGCCTTTTCGTCAATAAGCCACCGGCCAGAGGTATATCGGAAGAGATCGTCTGATTTTACTGCATTTAGCTGTTTCGTCTGCATCGTTCGGTGCGAGTTTTGCTTTGTGTTCAGAAAAGCTGCGTTCGAAGGGCCATAACAAATGGTAGCTAGACCAGTGCAAGATGGAAACTTGACGGGCGAGGGTCTAGATATCAGTCGAAACAGACCTCGAGACGGTGGCTGCCTCCACATAGTGTGAATAGAGCCTGATTTGGTGCAAGGTCTAGTGGCAGGGGTGCTGTCCGAGTGTATTCTCCGACAACTAGGGAAGCTTATCAGGACTGATCTACCAGAGATCGATCACATGATCTGCATGTACCTGTATAAACGATGAGTCCTGAAGTGCGTATCAAAGGTCGGGAATATCTCCTGAAGAGGGTCATAAGCCTACAATACGAACTCATCACCTGAGCTTTCCCTTTTCTTAGGATAAGATCAGACTGGGGTGTATATATTTTACCCTGCTTTCACTCGTACCAATCCGTAGCCATCTTCACCGCCGTTTGGAGTGAATTCCACACACATAGACTGTATATAGATTGCTTTAATTATGTATCTTCTAAGATATTATAGTTATACTCCGTAATCCAAGCCGGATAACTAATAATTAGCGACTGAGATAATCTACTGCCCACACGTGCGGGATATCTCGGGGTACCTCCGGGGCTAATATAAATGCAGACCCGCATGTCGCGATGTAACCCTTAGCAGCTCATCACCCCATTTGGAAAATGGTCTCTTGAATGGTCTTGGATATTCTTGGCTATGCTGTCTCCAAGAGTATGTATTTAAGAGAGAGGTATACTGGACAATTCAAATCGCGACCCCTGTATCCCATAACATTCCCCCAAGTCCAACCATGCAGTTCAAGCTAGGAGCTAGCTTGGCAGCCCTGGCCGCCAGCCATGTGGCAGTGGCAGCTCTCACACAGATAACAAATGATGAGATGAGCTCCCTCCTCGATGCCGGTGGTGTAGATCTAGCAGACCGCTACGCGCCCATCTGGTTCTTTGGGCAAGCTCAGAACCAGCCACCCTGCTATCCAACCTGGGCGTATAGCGGCTCACCGGATACATCGGATGTCTACGATGCTGCCCACAAGACACCGGCCGCGGCCCAGTGTGATTACCCAGATGTCGGGTGCAATTGTCGCAACCCTGGCGTTGGTATCCGAAATGAGGGACCTGCATTTCCCGTTTACTATACATACCGACAATGCAACGAGTCCGAGATTCGCGTCGTGTACAATCTCTTTTATGAGAAAGACGGCGCAAATTTTGCCGGCATCAACACTGGGCATGACTAGTAGGTGACCCTTTCTGGCCTTGTGGTTCAGCCCAACTCTAACATCGTTCCAGTGACTGGGAACGAGTGGTGATCATCCACTCTCGGGATAGCAACAACATGTGGGCACCATCGCGCGCCCTGCTCTCTGCGCATAGCGGGTACCACAACCTGGCCTGGGGCGATATCCAAAACACCCTCACGACCGACGAGATCAATGCCGGAGATGCCAAAACCCCGAACGGTGTAAAGGGGAATGATCACCCCAAGGTGTATGTGTCGTGGTCGAAGCATGCTCACTTCGATACCCGCAATACCGGCTGGAACGATCCGGCGAGTCAGTCACTGGATACTGCATTCCGGAGTGATGATTGGTGGTACTCTGTCAATCCACAGTACTATGTAAGTTTCTTGATTTGCAATGTGGAGCCAATGCTGATGTTTCGATAGATCCGAGCCGATGATAGTACGGAGGCTGGTAAGGTAATTGGGGCCGCTGATTGGGGTAGCGCAAGCAGTGACCCGGTGTCGGTGCAGGCTGGTGTGTGCGCGGCTTCATAGTGGTGACTGCAAGCTTGGTTGGGAACATCGTACATATCTTCAACTTCTATGTCCATATCCGGTTGTCGCCTGTTTATACAATCATCCCTCCGACTTCGATCCGGTTACCGTGGTCGTCCATCCGGTCACTGACATTCGCCATTCCACTCCATTTGGGAAGACCATCGGGAAGATCTAGCATGCGTGACTCATAAAAGATGTGACATCTAGCCGGACATTAGTATGCACTCCTGGAGTAGTAGCAAATGCACATACGTCGGCTTGAAAACCTCCCTCTTCTTTCTTTGCTCCTGGCTAGATCCCTCGAGCTGAATCAATTGAGGGAAAATCAAACACATATTCCGACCTTCATCCATGATAGGTGTCCGGCAATTGGCACAAGACACCTTGGTAGGCAAGATATGTTTCTGACTTCGATGTGTAGAAGAATAAAACGCCAGACCGCTTGCACCATTGGTGAATGACATATCATACTTGTGGAAGATCGCCGCCCACTGAAGAGGAGCTCCGTGGGTAACTCGGCACACAGGGCAATGACAGTATTTAGCATTGAGTGGTTTCTCTCGCTTCAAGAGATAGGTGATATTTCCACAGAAACACTTTCCACGCCACTTGATGGGACCGAATTGCTCCTCGGATTGCACCTTGTATGGTGGCAGGTGTTTCCAGTGTTCTACAGGGGTGGATTCTGGGATTGTGTTGGTACGTGCTGGGCAGGGAAGAGGATCGACGAAGTTGCGACTTATTTCAGGCATGGTGATGTGATTTGAGGGGTGTGAGGAGTGTGAGGGTTGAAGCGTATGTTCTCCCAGACCATAATAACGATGATGTTAGTCAATGGCCAACCATGTATAGATCTCGGATGGATTGTGTGTCCGTTGAATCTTAGGCATTTCCTAAAAATGACGCTGTTGACTCCGTGATGTCATGAAATTCGCGGCCTCAAATCGTCTCCATAATATTCGACCTATGAGAAATAATTTTTGCCGCGTGTCAACTCATCCGAAAGATCTTCAAAGATCTTCAGCTATATTAGACGTGATGAAACCCGTGTTTCATGTTAGTGGCTGGGGGCTGAAGGGGGGTGATGGTTGACGGACCCTGCATTAACGCGCTTTGTCCCAATCATCTCCTCTCTTTACCTTTCACATTCTCCCACACCCTCCCAGCCAGAATGGGCCTTTTTGATAAGCTGCGACGAAGCTCGCGACGGAGCTCACGGCGAAGTGACCGAGAAACACCCGACCCACCATCGCCCCGCGTTAATGTGCCCGGTCGAGATTACACCAAACAGCTACCTCGACCAGTATTGGCGCTTATTTTCTCCTTTGTTTGTCCGCACGCCGTCGATAACACATATGGCACATCCGAGGAATCTGCCAGCGATGGCTGTATGCTATGCGACATGCGCGACCTGGCACACTGCACCCTCGTCAACAAGCAGTGGTTTATGAATGCGCGGGCGCTTCTGTAGGAGATCCCCGGGCCTTTTGCCAAGCGAGAGACTAACACCAGTCTGCTGCCAGTTACACCAACGTCCGAATCGACCCCGTCCATTACTGCGAACTCGAAATCGAATTAGCCGCCAAGCGAAAACGCCGCTCTTTCTTTGACCGCAATGGCGATCCTATCGATGCCCCGCAAGTCCGTCTGGAATTGTTTATGCGAACAGTGCGAGAGTCACAGGGGCTGGGAAATATGGTGCTGTCACTCCGAATGCCATACATGACCCGCGAGGCCAACAAAGCCAACGTGGCCCGCACTATCTCCGTTCTTCCTAATCTCCGCTTTGTTGATCTGCCGGTGGGTTTGTACAGCGACGAGCCATCCTGCCTACCCTTGAAACAGGAGCTGATGGCTCGATGCCCCGAGCTGCGCCGCATGGCCTATCGCCAAGGTGCGGAGGGCAGTTTTTCACGTCTCCCGGGTTCTCAACTATGGATGAATTTGGAGGTGCTCGAGCTATCTGGTGTTCAAATGGAAGCTAGTACCCTGCGCGGCGGAATCGCTTCATTCCCCCATCTTCGTGATCTCACGCTCGAAGACCTCGGTTGGCTTGACGATTCTGCATTTGCAGTGAACGTACCTCTTCCACCATTCCCGGCAGTTCAGTCTCTTACGCTTCGCGATACCCCCAATGTCACGGCAAGCGGGCTTGTCGCATTTCTTTCCATGCCAGCGAACCGCGCGAATTTGGGGTCTTTGATATTATCTTCTACTGGCGTTGCTCCATCCCGACTACATTATATTCTTTCTGCCGCTCCGCGACTCCACAGCCTTTCTATCATCCAGGAGGTCTCTCGCTCATTCCCAATGGAGCAGATTCCTCCCATGGCGTCGAAGTCGCTGCATCTCCTGCATTATGAACTCACATCCAAAACGGATAATCACGGAATGCCACCAGTGGTATCCTCATACTATACCTATCTTATTTCGTCGTTGGTGTCGCGAACCTTACCAGCTCTTCGAGATTTATATGTCCGTGATTCCTCCTTCCCCGATACTCTGTTGCTCATGCCGCCACCACGACTCTTCGGCGGTGGTGAAGGTGGGCCGCAGATGCGGGGCGGTCTTTCACAGCCCCTGAATGTGTACAGCAAGGGCCTGGATGAGTTTGAGTGGAATTTCACACCTTACGACCCCAGCCCGGAGTTCGGGCGCCGTGACTCAAGGACGCGCCCCGTAAGTTTCCACGAGGCCCAGCTAAACCGGTCTTGGGGCGGCGATGCTCGCAAGAGCGTGCTCGTCGGGAACGGGTTCGGTGGGTTCCTGGCTGTTCCAGCTGAGGAAGAACGACCCATGAGTAGTCAGGGATACCACAAGCGGTCGAGTAAGCAGGATATATGGCGGTGAGATTATTATATATGGATTCCACTGAATAGGAGGGTCAGTATCTTGAGACATTTGGTCCGAGGTCGTCTAGCGGACGATGAACGCACTTCATGAAATGATGATTGGGTACATAGGTCAAGTCTCTAATGGAAATGTTCAGTTCATTCAAGCATAATCGGGCGATATACATGCGTGGCTATTCCGCGGTTTGGTTCTGTTCTGGCCATCCTTTTGGCAGCTGTAAACCGCGCCATACCCACTGCTTCTGGATTTCGCTGTCTGTCATATTACAATAACCGTATGTCTGGCAATAACATTTGCGTTGGTCGAGACAATACTGAGCCGGTTTTCCGAAGATCACTGTAAACAGTCAATGTTAGCAAGAGATCAAGAGATCAGCGCGAATGAGAAACCCACTATGCCATGAATACTCCAGAATACGCCCACTGATGCCGGCGTCCAAATCGGTCTCCATCAACCACCGCTGCAAACGAACATAGTGCTCCAGACTCTGCTCGTGAATCTTCTTCTTGGACAAAGCAAACTGACTACAACACGGTGTCCCAACCATCTCTGGGACTTCTGCGCGCGGAAACAACTCCATAAACCGATCGGGATACTCGACCGCGGTGGGATGTCCGTGGTCTTCTGGTCTCTCTCGGAGATAGCGAGCGGGCTCTAGTTCGGTGGGACAGCCGACGGTCCAGGCGCAGCGCAAATTCACATAGCCAGCCTCTTGGACGAAGGCGAGGTTGAGATGGGAGATGGAGATGACGGAGTCGTAGAGCGGGTTATCGACATGCCATTGGTAGCGGCCGCCGTGGAGGAAGACTGATACTTCAGGAAGGGACCAGTAACGATCGATAATATAGCTGATTCCGAGGGCAATTAGTATGACAACAAGACTCGAGGTATGAAAAACGTACGTCAGATATACCATAGCTTCATTGCCCTTATTTACCGGGACGGTCAAGCCACCGTCTTCGTGTTTCGCATCCGCACGATAGATATTCGCCTTCCAGTGTGACAGATGCTCTTCAACCCAGGACATATTGCTAGCCTCCATAGCGGCGAGAACCAACTCTTTATCAGCGGGTATATCATCCAGAACGAAGCGTTCGTCATCGCCAGCCACGATATCCTGAATTGCTGTCCAGCTTGTGCCTATATTCGGTGCTCGGTCGAGAATCAGCTGATATGATAGAAGCAGTAATGTCACTGCTATACCGAGGTAGATGAAGACCCGCGACCGTGGTGAGACACTGGCATCGCGGGGGGAAACGCAATCCCGAAGCGGGGAATACAGCCGCCTCATTGCATTGTATTTATATAGAGGGGCAAGGAAATACAGAAGGGAATGGACAAAAGACAGGGGACGGTAGGAAGTAGGCAATGTTCAGGTCAAATGGAAAAAAGAAGATAACAGGGCAGACGCTCTGACGTAGTGGACTGGGTGGATTTCCATGGTTACATGAGATATCAACATACAACAGTTACTACATACGAAAGTGCACGATCTATAGAACAGCAATGGTTCAATGTTGGTTCTTTTCTGTATCCACAGTTATTAAAAGATCTGCAACCTAGGGCTGGGGAGACTCAGGCTGCAAGCGGACATCCTGGTTTCAGGACTCGATGTATACCACCAAGTCCATGTATATGAGTACAATGAGTACGACACTATACTACACCATGCTAATTGATTTTCTTCTAGGCAAGCAATGCCAGCTCGATTGGATAAACTACTACCTCCTAGGTGATCTCTAGGGCTAATTCCAAGGTTGATGGTAAATCGCCGAAAATGGCACCTTCCGGTTTAAGCCCTTCAGGTACCCCAGGTACCGATATTAGTCATCCCAAGTATACTCCAGGGGTTCCCCTTGACATCAACATAATCAAGATCCGTACATTCAGCTTAATTAAATATAGAATTAGCATGGTTGGTGTAACTAATGGCAACACAGCAGTGACACATGGTAAATATGCAGTTGCATGTATTATTATCGCTTAGTGCCTGGTACTTCCTTCCATTTTAGTGCTCACCTCGTGCCGCTTTTTGGTCGAGGGGCACGTGAAGGTGGGTCCGCGGGTGGGAGTGTGGATTAAGTAAGGCAGCCTAGCCTAGTCTGTATTAGCGTGCCGTAGCACGTGCATTCATGCATATGATGGCTCATTGACATTTCAAAGTGATCGAGAGCAATTATCTGGAGAGCAAGGTCCGAATAGGTTTGCAAACCAAAAAGACATACCAAAAGAGATGAATAAGCAGTCGACTATTCCTATACCTATCTACGGAGTATATACTCAAAAGTGAGGTGCCCAATGAGAATTAAGTCACATACTTCGTCACCTATCATCCAACTAATACTCTTTTCTTTTCTATATTATTATTACTATGGATGTACTAGATTATGATGCTGATTTATATATCTTATTGATTCTTATAGATGATCTCAATCTTCAAAGAACACGTGAAAAGACAGTTCTATATGCGTAGAAATACAGACAAAAGAAGAAGAATTAATACTGCTCAATAGCAAAGTTAGTGAATGACTCACCTGAGTTCATCATTTAAATCTATAGCTCCTCAGCTAAATCAACCATGCTCGGGCGGTTCCTCAAATTGTACCGAGATTGAGTAGAGTCTTGACTCTGGCGTGAAACTGACGTACGGGAGCCTTGGCTCTGATGTGAGACCGATGCACGAGGGTTGGCTCTTACAGAAAAGAATGCGGACTGGATCGACTGCCCGGCCTTCAGGTTCGAAGCAGTAAAGTCCGGGTTCATCCCTGAGTTCAATGGCTCTGGCAGCAAAGTAATCTGTTGAGGCAAAGTGACATATTTATCCATTCCCACGGGGAAGATTGAGTCCATATACTGGGATTGAGTCCAGAAAGCAGTGTCGATGGAATCCTGTGGAGTCAGCCCGGAAAAGTCGATATCAGGTAGCGCTGTCATATCGAAGGATTTCGGGTCTAGGAGATCAAAGAAACTCGGGTCTGATAGATCTAAATCCATATCCATAGGCAGGTCCAGGCAGGGTGGGTCGAAAGACTGTAGATCCAAAGTGTCATCATTCAAAAACTGTGTGAATTCCACATTAGCCAGGTCCTCTTCGGTCCAGTCCATCACCTGTGTCAAGTCCAATGCATTCACATCCGGCTCATCCACAGCATCATCATTCAAAAGCGTGCTGAAATCAATATCTGGTACATCCGCTGCACTCCAGTCCATCGTGTGTGTCCAGTCAATATTATTCAAATCGGCTGGGCTCGTGGCATATTCCTGTGGTAGTTGTGCGGTGAGTTGTTCCATAGTAGTATCGATTAGAGCTTCGTCAAGGGAACTCAGGTCCTCTGTCTGCTCTAGAGTCAATTGAGGATCAGGGGTCTGTTGTACTGAAGCCTGACTGCTCTGATTGAACGAAGGGCGTGTCTGCGTGCTTTGAAAGGAGGTCCTTGCGGTAGCAAAAGACCAAGTGGAACTATTCTCGGGTGACGGGGTCCATGTAGGTGTGTTAGAAGGTCGCTGGTCATTAAAATTCTTAAAGGGCAATGGCTGCAAGTAAGTAACATACTGATAGTTTGACCGTTTGGGGTCTACCGCCTGTGGCGGGAGCAGAGTGTGCATATAGGGATGCAGAGACCTGATGGGCTCTGAGTTACCCGGGAACTGAATCTTCGGGACTGTGATATCAATAGTGTCGAGCCATAAGCCCCGAGCCAGGTCTCCATCAAACTTAGGGCTTTTTCGGCGTAGCTCAGCGAACTCCGACTCACCAAAAATCCTCACTCTCTTCCCGTGTCTTGTAAGCTGCTGGGGATTCAGTCGATAATACCCGCAGTACCTAAGGACTGCAGGAAGTACCAACTCGGGGCGATAGTCTTTGACAGACTTTAAGCCAGTAATCTGAAAGTTATTACTCCCGTCAGGGATGGGCTCCCTACTATACACTGAGTGAACAGCATACTGCAAAACGAAAGCAGGAGCAGTATCCATAAGATCACGGAATCTGCAAAAGGCAATAGCCTGGAGGTCAGTAATTCTTAGAAGAAGAGCAGTCTGAAACATTGACAAATGAATGCGCAAGAGCTGACAGATCTGAGGACAAGTCACGCAGCCACCAGGGCAGGGCCTAACTGAGTAATATTTCAAGTCGGCTTCGTCAACCGAATAGTCACCAGTATAAAAGAAATTAAGAAGACTGTCGACCTGCTCAGGACGTACCAAATCAGGAAGAACAAGCTTCTGCTTATCTCCAGTCTTGTGGATTCGCCAGTCAATCCAACGGGTCGACTTGCGAATGATATTCAAGTGCACATTCCAGCCGCGTCGGGGCTGGTCTGGGTGTAGCAGCTTGAAGTCAGGGGCATAGGCTTCAAAATATCTAATAAAATGTTAGTATATATCCTTTTTATGTGTGTCTTTTGTCACTTACTCGTTCTGTTCAGCTTGGAGTTGAGCCTTGCGGTTACCCAGCTCACCCCAACCCAGCCAAACACGGGGCAGGCCGGCATGAGAGTTGCAGTGGTAGTGGGCAGGCATGGTTGCTGCAAGATATTCCTGAATACAATGTGTTAGTTAGTCTAATGAGTTTGGTAGTAAATACTGAGAATGTGATTGTAGATGTGAAGTGTGATGAGAAATGAGGATTGTGCCGGGACATCGAAGCACTTAAATACTCAAGGGGGCTTTTCTTTTTCAAATATATTGATTCTATTTGAACAATGCCAATATAATCATGAAAGCCAATAAAGAGACTATAAATACTCGGCGGAATATCGAACGTCAAAATTCTTTGTTCTTCGACCCTTAGCCTCGGATCCTGCAATGAGTTCTGATTGACTGGATAATATCCATATTGTTGTTATAGATTTCCTAAAGATGGCCATTGTGTTTCTATGTTCATTGTGGCCAATATCCCCTTAAGCTCTTTGAGCCTCGCCTGAACAACCATGAAAAATACTCTTTATGCTCTTTATGCTCTCTAATCTCAGCATTCCATGCTTAGAGATATGTCACGGGTAATGAATTTCAAAATTTGTGCATGTCTACCGCAATAACTGCGATACTGAATACCGACCACTCTGAACAAAGCCATTGTTCTTTGGTAATCTCTGTCTAGCATCGTCTCTTGACCACCAGCACAGCCACATCATGACTCTCCAAGGAGGTGCTATACTCAGTCTTCACGCAGCCCAGATCCTTGCCAGTCCAAGCATCAATGACATGATAATCATGGCTCTTGAGCTGGGGAACCTCGCTCCATGTCGCAGTGCGAGTAGAAGTCACATTCTCGGAATTCAGCATTAGCACAAAAGTGCCCTGTAAAGTGGAGGATGTACCAGACCAATACTCTGCTGGATGGACGGCGTCGAAAGTCCAGTCGGGATTGTAACCCCACTTATAAGGATGGGCAGGACTGCCAATAACAGGGTCTTGGTTGAAGTCAATAAGATACTTGTTCTTCAGAATGGCCACGTGGTCATCGCTGATAGAATCAAGCTTTAGGATTGTCAGTATATCTTGCCATAAGCATAAGACATCCAAAGATACCACATACCGCCGTGCCAATGATCAAAGGGGACTTCATGATGGCCCAAAGGGCAAAGTGTGCCCTATTTTCCTCGATAGTAAGAGCTCCATTACCAACCTCCAACATGTCCGGGTCGGGATGACCCCAGAAATCGACGTATTTCATCAGGAAGCTGTTCTCATTGGCAATTTCTGCAATACGAGCCCAATTTGCTGAACAAACAGAGTCAGCTTCTAAATCTCCCACTGCGTATCAGTCAAACAACTTACCGTTGATATCGTCAGACATGCGCCATGAGTTTCCGGTTTCATTACCCCAGGTATTGACGTCAGCCTGGCCCCAGTCACAAAGCGAATACAATATTGTTCGGTCAAGGCTGAGTAACGCGTCACGCATTGCAGTATACCGGGCATATGTGTTCGATGTTTTCCAGTCATATCCTTCTGGGCGGGATCGCTAAGATCAGGACAGGTGCCATTAGGGTGGCTTCCAGAGCCCTCAGGAACACAGTAATGGTATGAATCCGTCCAATTACTGGGGACACCGCAGTTGTCATATTTGAGGTCTGCGAGTTTTAGCATTTAGGTGAAAGCAGATTCACGGGAATACAATAGAACTTACAGTCAATACCCCAGTCAGCAAAAGACTGCGCATCGACTGTCTCGTATCCCAGACTAGCGGGATAATGAGCACAAGTCTCATCACCAGCACCTGGCGTATATCAGTCTTGATTTCTGATCAGTATACAGACGGAGGGGATACTAACTGCTGTAAATCCCGATTTTCAGTCCCAAATCATGGACTTGCTCTGCAACACCAGAGATACCATCGGGGAACTTGGATGGATCTGGAATGATGCGATTTGTGCTATTATCGCGGGTGTTCTGGATGCTCCAGCAGTCATCGACTAGAAAGTATCAGCGATTCGAACCATTTTATGCAAAGCTCAGTTCATACTGTTGATGTATTCATAACCCAGATCCTTCAGTCCAAGATTAACAACCTCATTGGCAGCGGTCAGAACCTTGGTAGAATTGATATCACATCCGAATGCATTCCAGGAATTCCATCCTAGAACAGGCAATCTACCCTTATTTGAGTCAATATCTTTGTGATTAGTCCATAACAGAAGAAAACATACAACACCACTTTCCCTAACCAGGGCATTTGCTACTGGTAGCAAAGGCAATGCAACAGCGAGAGTGAATGGCGCTAGCATGACTGTAGATTGTATTTCGTTTGTCTTTGCTAATTAACTAGATCTTGTAAATCCGGGGATCTTTATAGACCCCGGTCTCGTGCGGGGAAGGGTCAATGTCATGTCACTTTAATTAATTTCCCTGGGAATAACAGTGTCGATCATCACAGTAGTATCGCTTATACGCATCCGCATCAATTGGTAAATAGAGGGGTATGGAGAGGGGACTATGAAGACGTCAAGATGAGATTGAAGAGTTCAGAAGCTAAGCCCTAAACTATAGGATTTGACAAGGGCATTGTTATACGCACTGCGAGCGGAGTAGCCCTGTGGTTAAACGTACCTTGAGACATCCTCCTAAGATTTCATTCAGTATCTTGCAATGTTCCTAATTGGGAACAGTACAGGGGGCGGACAGGGGACGGGGAAAGGCATAAAGATCGACAGGAAAAGAATCAAAATAACAGGAAACGCGCATTCGCAAAATACTCCGATTATTGTATGTCACATCAGGTCTCTAGAGTGGCTTCTTCAATGCAGATCAATGCTAGAAAGAGTACGGAGTATGTCCTGGTACAATACTACACTCATATAAAGAAACCTTTTTAGCTCTAACAACCGTCATGATACATATCTATCGTAAAATCATTAGTCGTACAATATACACCATGCTTCCACCCAAATGCTTATTAAAAAGAAGTTCTCTTCACTTCGAAAAAGAAAGATAAGGAGAGACAATCATGCGAGCGGCTAATGCTTTCCCAGGATCAATTCACGGGCCTGGCGGGGATCGGTGCCGAGGACAGTGATGAGATACTCGATGCTAACTTCAGAAGCCAAGCGGCGTTTCTCATCTTGGAACTCATCATTGCAGATTTCCCACGACGCGTTCCGTTCTTTACTTAGAACGGTCTTAGCGCGGATTTTAAACGTTGCACTGACCGGCCGGTGGTCGGAGGCGCGGACTTCGTGGCGCCGATAATCAAGCTGCTTGACGTGGCCCAGGCCACGGTAAAGGATGCGGTCGCACCAGGCAGGAGAGCGTTTCTTGTCACTAGAGTCATACTCGTCCGTACCCACGTCGTACTTGTAGGTCGGGGCGAAGGTAATACGTGACTCGGTGAAGGCGCGCAGGCGGAAACCGGGGTTCTTCCGCCGAGAAGCAAGTAGCTGATCTCGATCCAGAAGTTTTGGTAAGTTGTTCTGGCGAACTGCGTCGATGATCACATTTCGAGGAATTGAGTCGATTCGGTAGTTCAGATCTCCGTTCAGAATGCACACTTCATGATCCATGATCATGGTGCCATCACCACCGCTGGCGAACTGGTCTGCCCGTAGGGTCATGCTATTTTCCGCAGGCAAAGACTCGGCTTCTAGGATCGCAGCAATATCGTTGTTTCGGTTGGCGGTCTGGGTTTGACCGGCCGCCAAATGGCAGTTCACAAAGCACATCGAGGTGTCATCCAAGATGAAGCGAAAGACAAGGGCACCCTAATGCAATTAGATAAAGGCCATAGCAAAGAGCGGAATATCACAAACCTTGTTTCCATGTAAACCGCCCATTCCGCGCTTAATCTCGGAGGCATGGATGTTTCTGATATTATGGCGTTCCTTGTGTTTAATGAAAACGCAAGTAAACAGTCCCACCATGTTCGCAGTATGCAAGAGAACGTAGGATTCCTCAAGAGGCATGCATTCGTGAAGGGTCCGAGTAAGATGATCGATCCACACTCGATACTGACGACTCATATGCTCTTTCTCGCCGTTTTCTTTCTTTTTACTACCAAGCAGCAAGCTCTCTGTGGCGATGTCAGCGGGCTTTCCTGTCAAAGAAAAATTGTTACACTTACTAGCTGTGATCTTCTTATTCTCAAGATCAACCAACTCCTGGAACCCAAATACCACGATATCAGGTGGGTCTTCGGGGGTAACCACATCTCGAATGAAATCCGACGTTCGCACACTGCCAGGGGTAGAAGCTCCCGCATTCCAAGTTAAGACAACAGCCTTGATTTCTCGGAAGTTGCAGTATTCCACGTCTCTGGCGTCCATCCGCGCATCTACTATGTGTTAGTGGAAGCCATCAACGGATGAGAACAATATTTTACTTACCCAACCAATCGTCCTCAAGCATTCCGTCCCAGATGCGAATGCAATTATCAGTGCCGAGAGAGGTCACCTGCAGGCGGTTCATGGTCCATACGCTGCTCATGTCTAACACGAAGCTGGATACGGGACTTTCGTGGGCACGCCAGTCTTTCTTCACGGTCCAAGGGTTGGTGGACACATCATAGACGTAAATCATGCCAGTTTTATACGCAGCCCAAAGATAGTCTCCGACAAATCCAAGGCAGTTGATTTTATACACACTGACGTTGGCCACTGCCAAACAAACAAAATCGGTTGAGGAATACACGGTAACCTTGCCGTCTGCGTGTCCCAAATACACCCGACCTCCATCTCGCGTGGTATAGGAACCGGAAGTCACATCGCCCGAGTGCTGAAGACCGAGAGGTCGTTTGAAGACCTTGAATGGGACATCATCCCGTGCATTGGGGCGGTATATATGGACGTCTTTCCCTGCTGCCAGCCACAGCTTGTCATCAACTACCATAGAGAACGTGTGACCGCGGGCTACACGTTCGGAAGGGGTGTGGTAGCTGTATTGCAAGTTAGGCGTGCCGGTCTCGTCTGGTGACCAAACAAGCAGTCGGCCTTCGTCATCAAGCGTCCACATTTCTTTCTTGTGTCGCAAGATTTGGATGACTTCTCGGCGGGAGGGGTATGCGCGGGTGGCCACGATGGATTGGCTCGGGATATCGACTTCGTGGATATCTCCAGCACTGGTACCGAGCCAGATACGCTCGCCCTCGCTTTCAAGATCTTTCCCTGGCTTAAAAGCAAGAGATAAACTTTTCACAGTCTCGCCATGGCTGAGACTCATCACTAGATCACCAGTTGTAAGATCCCACACCCTAGTCAGATACCCAGTTGTGCACACATACTTGCCGCACACAGCCAGCAAACGAGTATCATACTTTGTCAGGATATCTCTCGGTCCAGATTTAAAGCGGGGAGGTCGACGGTTAGCTTTTGAGGCATCGGGGTAGTCGGTCCGTAAGATAGCTGGCTCTTCGATTTGCTCTTCTTCCTCTGTGTCTGTACGCACCACACGCCGCTCGGGAAGAGAAGAGGACAGTTTAGTCTCACGGGGTACAGATGGTTGCCGCTGGATTGGTTTTGGCTCGGAGGATTGGCTAGCACGTGGGAAAGAAGGCACAGAACCAACAACCGGTGCCAGCTGCGAATGGTTGCTTTGATGTCTGGAAGACTCTCGCACAGGAGAGACTCCACTTCGGCGGGGAGCCCCAGAAGGTCGAGGAGGAAGCCCTGGGCGATCGGAGGGAATATCACTGGCTCGGGCTCTCTGCGCGGAAAGAGGGGTAGCAGTGGCAGTCGGAGCGTCTACTGGGGCAGATGGAACTTGCACCATCAAGGGCTTGGAGTTACGTGAGGGCTCTGGACCAGGAGGGATCCTTGAGAATCCCATCTCTCTAGCGTCATGCCTGGCGCTCGGAGACGCAGCAGGTAATCGCTCATCGAATGAGCGTCGAATCGGTGGCTCCGTCCTTGGTCGAGCTAATGCTGGTGCTGGCCTAGCACTGCTCTTCCCAGACGATTTCGGCTCAGCCACATGCTTCTCTGGGCTACCAGGAGGGGTGCTAAAAGGTGAAACACTTCGATCGGGTGATGCTCGTCCTGGTCGAGGAGCCAGCAAGCTGGTCTCTTGGTGAGAAAGCATGGCTGGTTTGGCCGGGATTTTGGGCTTTGATGCGCGGTTGGCTGGGGGCGGCAACGAGGCACTTTTTAATTTCCGGTCTGCCGGGCTCCCAGTGAGGTTGGCGCGGAGAGACCCAGGCGACACCCTAGGCATTTTATCCCCTGCATTAACTGACGGACCGAACTTCGGTATCGGGGAAATCGGGCGAGGTGGTGCTGGCGAGACGGACATCGATTCTCGCGGGCGATGGCCTGGACTCCGAGTCTTTCGGCTGTCACCATGCGGTGTCCAAACTTCATCGCGATCTTGTACGCGTGGCGGCGATTTAGGCGAATGTACTGTCAAGGTCGGCGGTAGCTGTGGCGATGAACGGTGGAAGTTCATAGACATGGGCCGGCCATATCGTCTGCCGGAGAACCCACGATCCCGGAGTCTCTCGCCATTCGACTGCTGAAGCGGGGTGGGTCTATCTTCAGCAGGGGTCCATGGGGAATGGTCTCGGGGCAAATCGAGCGAAGCACGGGTGGAGGATCGGGGGTCATCGCCAGACTCCGGAGTTGCCAGTAAAAGGTTTGTGGAAGTGCGCGGGCTGGCAGCTACAGCAGACGGAGCTCTGCGGTGAGAAAGATTCTCGAAGTGAGACAGCAAGGAGGACACCGGTCTCTGTGGCTGTATTTCATGTTAGTTTATTGTGTGCAACAAAACAGTTACGTATGCATACAGTGGGAGGAGCGGCGTCATCATTGTTGTCCGGCTGTTTCCCTGTGCCGGCCATGGCCATTATCACGGATCCGTCGCCGAGACCAGCTGAAAGAATGGATCATAGACTTGGAGATATTGGGTGTCAAATAGTGGCGCGGAGGCAGTAGAGTAAATGTTCGTGGGCACGGCTACAGGGATGTCGTGGGGCTCGGAGTATGGAGAAAGGAGACGACGTAAGCGGCGCAAAAGGCCCAGGAACAGAAGATGAAGCTTGACCGTCAATATTTCGAGGAATTCCGAGGGATATCCAGGGGTTTAAAAGGGGGTGAAAGGCAAAACTTGATGAGATGGGTGGCGGGGAGGAAAGTGGAGGGAATCACGGGAGTTGGCGATCACTTTCTGTCCGCGTCTCTTTGGACTTGAGCATCGACATCTCGCACTTTGCTGTCATTTTTCTTTCGCATTTCATAGCCATGTGGTAAGTCTGCTTCTCGTGATGTCCTGGAGCATGCTCATGCTCGTGATTCCTTTCCCTGGTCCAAAATCCGATTGCTAATACACCCCGCTCCGCAGTAAACACATTCTGAACGCTCAAGTATCCATCCGCTCGCACTGCTGTACGCTTGAATCGACCTCGTATTTGATGACACAGGATTGACCGAGGATATCTAGGCCGAAAATGGTTCGACTGCGCCGAATGCCACCGAGAGAGCGAGTCACACCCGCTCGAGAAGAGCGACGAGATGGTACGCCCCTATTCTCCGGCTAGCGCATGTCTATAAGGCTGACATTCATGGGGTAGATCTTTGCATGCAAGAAGTGCAAGAAGTGTTTCCGCAAAAACGCTGCTGAGTTCGATGAGACGTATGCAAGGAAGGGTTCAATGTCCAAGTGGCAGCGGGCTAATTTGCTTTTAGTGATGAGTACTGCCCTTACTGTGATAATCACTTTGTCATTGAGGCACGCGAGCCCGAGGCGCGACTACATGTTGAGGGTGAGGATGCTCGTATGGACAACCGGTATGTCGAGCACAATCTTCTAATTGGCAGGATGCTGACCAGATCAAGTATGCTCAAGGACGAACGTGTTGCGCGCGACAAGGAGCGCTCTCTCTTCACTATCAAAGACGTATCCGACCGTATGGGCTAAACTGCGCATATTGGGGGTGGGGAGGTGGGAAGACAATTAGCGGGGACGGCGCAATTTCATGATGTTGACGATTTGATGGTACTGTCTCTTGCAATAGTTCAAGACAGATGAAAACTTCCTTGGCACCAATACCCTTTTCTGCCTTGGTGTACAATATACAATACGAAATAAACCTGCACATGTGGAGATGTGTTTTAGACTTCATGATTTTGGATTCTCGTCAAAGAAAAGACCCAACGCTACTGTAAATTGGAACAAATCAACGATCCAGTCACCTCTCAGGCTCTGAATCCTTTCGCACTTAATCGGTCGACTCGGCGCCACCCGGCCGGGTGAGGATAGCCGCCGTGGTGGTCCCTGTCCGGGTCTTCTTCTTGGCTGCTTCCTCCTGCTTCTCAGTCTCGATGTTCTTCACGTACGACTCGATCTGGTCATCTGGCAGCATCTCAATAGTCTTACCGGGCGCCATGATAGCGACCTCGATGTTCTTGGCACCCGTCTGCACAACCTCAAGCAGAGACTTGATGGTCAGCTGGATTGTCTGCTCACGGTCCATATCATCCTGGTGGTTGCGCTCGAGGAATTCGCGGACGGTCTTGCTGGAACGACCGATGGCGTTGGCTTTCCTGTAACGAGAAAAGAGATTAGCGTTCATCCATTACGAGACGTAGGCTGGAAAAACACCTACCAGGCTGAGTAGATTCCAGACGGCTCAGTCTGGTACAGCCGCGGGATGGTGTCGTTCTTGTCGAATCCAACCACCAGCGTACTGATACCAAATGGACGCACACCACCACTCTGTGTGTATCTCTGCTGAACACCAGCAATATATTTCGTAATATACTCGATGCTGGCGGGGTCCTCGACAGTCAGACGGTGGGACTGAGCTTCTAAGCGGGCCTTGTCGATAAGGATGCGGGCATCGGCGTTCAGTCCAGCAAAGGCAAGACAGGCGTGGTTGTCCACCAGGGCGATCTTGGAGGGAGTAATGCGGGTATCTTGGAGCTTGAGGGCGGAACGCTTTTCGCAACCGAGAACGACAATGTCCTTGCCTTTGACACCCACAGCGCAAGTTCCTAGAATCATCTACCATCAGCAAATTATGTCTATTGATGGAAAGAATGGGAGCGACAGCAGAAAATGGGGCAAAGGAAGCTGCTAGGGAAGCAAATCACGGCGATCTTACCTCGCTTCACAGCCTCCATGGCATATTCAACCTGGAAGACGTGTCCATCAGGACTGGGAGAGGGTTAGAAAACAAACTCTGGAGCTGAAGTGTAGCTTGAAGGCTTCATACCTGAATACTGCGATAAGTTAGCATGATACAGCTCTCGTCCTGAACAGGAGCAAAGGGAGCTGGACGTGGGGAGCTAGCTTACCTGAAAGAGCTCGGTCGTATCCGGACATTGTGAATCAAGGAGGACTGGATTAGAGGTGATTAAAGGTCTGTAAATAACAAGTTCAAAGGAAGCAATGAGGTAGAATAAGGGCAACGCGGAGTGTCAAGTAGCTGAGGTCAATTGGGTTGGAGCAATGACGGGTTCCGGGCGGTGGACGCGAAAGCCTACGGCTGCCTCCAGCGCCAACACTCGCGGTACTTTCGTTCGATATGGACGCACCATAGTAATTCCATGTACCTAGCAGTTGACCAACAATCTTGTAACGAGAATGCATCCTTATATTAAACAGTGTTGTCATGAAAGAAAAAGTCTCAGATCAGCCTTGAATTCACTAAAATCTGTCGAAGTACACTTGTAAGACGTTATAATGTACTCCGTACTCTGTACTAGTCAATACATATCGCCCGATCTGTTAGAATTTTATATAATCCTAAAGAAAGACCTAAATAAACAGAATACACATGAAAATACACATGAAAATATAGACACAATGATTTTTTTGCATTCACAGTGCTTCGACCCCGAAGAGATCCTCGATTCGATGCCCAAGCTTCAAAATAAATCCCCAACACCCCAAACGGAGTCCCAGTATATCCCCACCCAGATCAAGACCGTGAATTCTCCGACGCTTCCCATGACCAAAGAGTGCAGAAAGGGAGCCACAAAATATCTAAAATGCAATGCCAAAAGCAGGGCAAACCCAACGCAAATGTGTCCATGCCTGCAGACAATAAACCAGAGATGGGCCGGAACATTCGAAAAATACAATGCACCACACACCCCTATAAGGGCCCTCGATAAAAAAAAACAACCATATAGCGCAAGATGGAAATCACAAATATGGGGGGAAAAGAAGAAGAAAAAGGAAAACAAAAAAAACAAAAAACAGACCAAAACCCAACGATAAACAAGGCATCACGCAAAAAAAGCACTGGGCGGCGAAGGCGAGAGAGAAAGAAATCCGAAAATCTTCGACAACGCTAACCCGCCTGCTCCTTCCAACCCGATGCACCAAAACCGCAGAATCCCTTATACAAATGCGTATCAACCAATATCAACCAACGCAGAAACCCGCCACAATGCAGGGTTGCAATATGGACAACATAAGCGTGAGCGCCCAGTTCGTGAGTGGGGCATGAAATAGGTACAACTAGACCCATATTTAAGCGGGCGACTTGTTGGCACCGGAGCCGTTGCGACGAGAGTGGGGGTCGTCAGACACTGTCAGACCACCGAGGCCACTGGACAAGAAGGCGAAGGGGTCACTAGCACCATCGGTACCGTAGAAGGCACCGTTCGAAGCACTGGTGGATGGAACACCGTGGTCCGCACCAGTGAAAGCAGCCTGAGTGGCCGGGTTGGCGAACGAGGCGGCCGAGTGCGAGGTGCCGGAAGAGCCGTAGCCCGAGGTCATCTGACCCATGGGAGGGTACGCACCGGGGGTATTGTTGCCCAGACCACCGGAGGGCAGAGCGTAGTTGTTAGGCGGGCCACCGAACTGTTGACCGAACCCACCGAATCCACCGGCGGTCGAGGCGAACGGAGCTGGTGCAGGGGTGCTCGTCATCGAGTTGGGCCCCATATTAAATTGCGACGGTGGATCCATCGGGGACGGGAATGCCGAGTCTGCCACGACGGCAGCGCCCGAGCGAGGGGCACCGCAGCGTAGGCAGTTGATGTTCTTCGCAAAGTTGTGATAGCCACAGCCCTCAGAACCACATTTCCAGTCGCCTGCGCGGAAGGGGACAACGCCGCCGTTGCCACCCATACCACGCGAGTGACCACCACCCATACCGTGACCGCCGTGGCCCATGTGAGGAGGCATCATTGATGGCGGGCCGTAGCCGTAGTTTCCGTAGCTCATTGGGTCGGGTGCGGCCGCCATGGCGGGGAACGAGCAGCGGAAGCAAGCTGTGCGGCGCTGGAAGTTAGAGAAGCCGCAAGACGGGCAAGTCCAGTCACCAGGACGGGGGCGGTTCTTGGAGGGCGGGAAAGGAGTGAGTATCTCGGCGGCCCGGTCTAGAACCCGGCTGGAAGAGGGAGAGACCTCAATCGCCTTTTCATTGAGCGCACGGCCGTTCATGCACAGGCTTTCAGCAGCCTAGTAAGTAGTTAGTAGGCAAAACTAAGGATAAAACACAGGAAGTTCTGTATCGTAGAACCGCCAAATCAATACCAAGATGCAAACTCACCTCCTCGTGTGAAGAGAAGACGGCAAAGCCAGTTCCAGTGGGCTTGTGCTGGTCTGGCGTCCGCAGAGTCCAGAATGCGATGGGACGACCGCCGAACTGAGTGAACCAGCTCTCCAACTCAGACTGAGTGGTATCGTGGGGCAGACCACTAAGGTGCAGGACCTTGCTCCGTTCCGCCAAAAAGGCCCGAACGTCGGCATGAGCATCCATAGGACGAGTGAGGATCTCAGGGTGTTCCTGGGGCGGCTGCGACTTGCGAATCAAACCACGAAGCACACGGGCGAGAGTAACAGATTCCTCCATGGCACGGCGGGGCGAAGCGGGGGCCAAAGCTTGCAAATGGAAAGGAAGGTTGTGCTTAATCGGGGCGGACGACTGAACGGGCTCGACCTCGAGGGCAGCGCAGATGTTGGAGAGCGAGCTGGGACCGAAAGGAAGCGACTCGGGGTGGTGCGTCTGCCAGCGCTGATATTCTGTTCGCAAGTCGAAAGTACGGGAGTGCTGCAGGTATGCGGGCAGCACGACGGCCTTGTCGCGGGCCTCGCGGGGCAGCTGCACCCGCAGATCCCACGAGTCCAACGTCACAAAAGCAAACTCGAGGTGTTTGCTAATGAGGTGTTCCTGGGCGAAGGCGTCGAATCGAGAGATGGCGTCCCGGAAAGTGCCTGCGGAGCGAACGTGTTCCCATGTCAAAGTGGTCAAGCTCGCTTCAGAGAATTGTCAGCCACAAATTGGATTCCTAGCAAAACCCAATGCAATCCAAGGTTGTTTTCAAGGCGATCTTACTGCAAAGCGGGGTGATTGGAGTATTGACGGGCTTGACGAGAACACTTTCGCGGTGCAACTAAACAATTGGGGAAAAAAATATGTCAGCTTCCATGGCCTCGGGAGTAAGTTGTATGTTGGGTAGAAGACACTGGGGGGAACGGACTTCCTCGCAGGTCTTGGTGTCCAACAAGATCCAGCCTAACTCAATGACCTCAGCCGAGTCCTTAGTCACATATACGCCATGTTCGTCGCAGGTGGTTGCAACGTGGATGACGATGTATCGATCCAGCTTGGGGGTTGGTGCTGAAACGGCCGCCATCGCTGACTTGTCCGGTGCCAACGGAGCGGCAAGGGAATCCCGGGGGAAGATGGGGAAGATGTCTCTGCGGGAAAAGCAGAAGACAAAGACAAGGCCGGAGAAGAGGGTGGTAAGAATAGAAGAGAAAGCCCGGGGGAGGAGAGAAGGGAAAGGGGGGGAGAAGAAGAAAAGAGCCAACTCGGTGGAGTTTTGAGGAGAAAATGAAAAGTTTCGGGGCTCACGGGGGGAGACGGAGATTATACAATTACAAAACGAATTGTATTGATGTTTTTCTTGAGGAATTCAGAAATTAATGTTCTTTATTCTCTCTCTCACTTTCATCGAATCTTCTATCCTTCAAATTCCCCTGGAAATTGTGTGTTCGGACTGGTTTTGACCGTGCAACCCAACTGGGCCCAGATCCCTGTCTTAGTACGCCTTGTCAGATTTAGACGAGTCAAGTAGGACTAGTATATAGATGCATGTCTATTAATGTCTCGAGCTAGGGAATGGCTAATACGGTGAGTGATTGGACACTTCCTGAACTATTAGGTAGGATATGTATCGAATATAAGGAATACACAAAGGGCAAAAGCGATTACCAGGTAGGACAGATGTACGCCATACCTAGGTATAGACAGATATACAGTGAAACATAGCGAGAACCGAGACAAATATAGACAACCTTGGAAGGATAAGGTGGACAAGATGGACATTCCAAATGTCAAGTCTCTCAGCCGCTGTCAAAATATAATCACGTGGCACATCACGTGGATATATACATCAACATGTACAAAGCATGAGGAACTCATATCGCTCATATAATCGTATGCAAAGGTATTCGAAGAAAAATCAGAAACTGAAAGTATGTACAGAAACCTAACCCCAAATCCCTAACTTCCAACGCCAACCAAAAATCTCAGAAAAATCATCACTCATCACCCGTCTCTTCCTTGATTATTGTCCCCCGACTAGTATCATGGTCCTCTTCATCTTCTTCCATAATACTAGGTTCAATGGAAACAATGGGCCGATTGGCTGTAGCAGAAGTAAGACGGCTATCACCCTCCTCGTCTTCCTCCATGATGCTTGGCTCAACAGAGAAATGACGACGGCTGTAGCCACCAGTAGGGTCCACAGAGCGACGAACACTACTAGAGCGTACACTAGCTCCATCATTATCGGGATCTTCAGTGCCTTCGCGAGGACGAGCACTAGCAGCGCGACCATCTTGTGCAACGGCAAGGATTTTGAGGATGGCATTCTTGGCCTTGACTAAAGCATTTCGGCTAGAGGCTTCAGCGGCCAGACCATCTTCAATGGTTTGGTCTAATAGCTCCTTGACCTCGGTCGCGAGGGCAATGTTTTCAGGATCGATTTCGACCCCTGTCGCACTGCGAACGCTAGTTCGGAATTGATCATCGCCCTCGGGAACGCGAGAGCTAGCTCGTGCGGGCACCGTTGGAGCGGCAAAGTAAAGCTTGCTGAGGAGGGAGAAGAGGAGCTTCCGTTCCTCGCGTGAGCAGCGATTCGCGGCAGCGCTCACACCTAGAACACGCTCGAGAATCTCCTTAACTAGGGCAAGGTGAACCCATCCACAGACACTGGAGCTTGCAGCACCGCCAGCCAGAACTCGTTCACCACCAAGGCCAACGACCCGGCGCTCGTCAGTCCACTCAGAAAGCATACCAACGACACCAGTCATGAGAGCCTTGACCTCGCGCTCCCCGACGCTTGGATCGATTTCCCCATCACTGTCTTCCTCGGCCTCGAGTGAGTAGTGCTCCTCCGCGGCATTCATCACGGCACGGATAACTGGTACGGCCACCCGGCGCATGTGTTGCGTGTTTTCCACACGAGAATGGCAGTATACAGGGAAGAAATAAGCCAATGACTGTCTTAGAGCTGGGTTTTCACGAGTTCGTGGGTGGTAGAATGAGACCACGAGGGATAGCAAAAGGGATTCAACAGCATTCTGATTGTGTTCCTGGATTGCGGGTGGGATATTCGGTCCAGAGGGAGTGAAAGTGTTGGTCAGTAGCAGCTTGCAGAGAGCGGCGGCTGCTCCAGACTGCACGCTGCTAGGAGAGTTGGCACGCAGAGCTCGGGCGAAAACCTTGAGCAAAGGCTTTTGCATGGGGGGCGGCGTGACGGTCTCGCCGTCAGCCTGTGTAACGGGAGCGAGGAGAGATGGGTGAGTCGTGATCATATCACAGAGGATTTGTAACGCCGTGACCTGCAATGCCTCATGACCCTTGCTATAGCAGTGAATGAAGAGGGTCATGTTTTCTTCGGCCAAATTCTATGGAAGTCAATATTAGCGAACCTCGTCTTCCATAAAAAGAGAAGTTACTAACCTTGTCAAGCAGACAGCAAAGGCCCAAACACAAGAGACCACGCTCTCTGATTGGGGCTTCGTGGCTGCGGACAGCGGGCACCACAAGGTTATTGAGCATAGTAACCAGGTTCATGTTCTGCTGCAGGTGGCCCTGGACATTCTGCAACATGCACTGGGCAATATATAGACACTTCATATTAACAACAATCTCGCGGACGATCTTGGCCTTGGCTTCTTCCTTATTAAAGGGAGCAATCTCTTCAACCCCCGGAGTTTCGGAGCGTCTGCTAGCGTCATCGCTGATCTCAGACCTGGCAGAAACAAAGCTATCTTCAGTGGTGATGGTGTCGTGAACTTCAGCAATAGCTTCCAAAACAACACTGCAAAATTCGGCCTCAGCCGCAGCATCAGGTCCGCAGACACAGCGAAGTGTTTCAACGACGAGTTTCGTGCTCTCTTCCGGAAGTTCTGGCACGGCCAAAGTTTCTCGCAGGAGCGAAAACATCTTTCGTCGACCGACCTCGTCGCTGTAATCTAGAGTGATGGCGATATGAAGCAATTGTTCCACAACAAATTCGTGCTCGACTGCGTCATCATCGTTTGCTTCACCAGACTCTTTGGAGATCTTCTTCCGCTCCAAGAGATTAGTGATGTATTTGCCTAGGAAATAGGCCATCGCGGTGACCTCTGGCATCTTGTCTTCTGCTAGGCTCTCGTACTTGCCTTCGTTCTCCACGCGACAGAAGTCATTGAAGGACCGGAGCAAGAAGGCAGATTCACCGGTTAGATTCTCCCAGAAAGGCTCGTCAAAGACAACAGCTTCGCGATAGTCCGCACGGCCCTCCCAGAACCCGCGCATTGCCTCATGTGCAATGCCGCTTTCCATTCCAGAGTTAACAACGTCAATTCTCTCCAAAAGTTCAAGAAGCGCGGTGATATCGGGTGCAGAGCGCTGGCCAGTCGGTCCCTGATTCGGGTCATTGTTCGTACCAGCGCAATCCTCGACCCATCTGTCGTAGAACAATTTGGCCGTAGCCTTGCGCACACTTTCATCACGATCACGTAGACCCCATCGGAGGAGCTTTTCTCTCATTGAGAGGGACAAATGGCGGAAGTCACCCAAGGTAGGCAGAAGACGTGAGTACAATGCGCGTCTGGTAGGGGCATCCAGATCACGGGCGCGCTCAAGAAGATAAGGAAGCGTCACTGGAGCGAGAGGGAGATTTGTGAGGAGGGTTTTGCGAACGTCGGCGCTTGTATCATTTTGCATAATTTCGATCAGCTTTTCAAGAAGAGCAGAGTTGTCGTCGTCGCCCTCTCCATCATCACCCGCTAAACGTCCTAAGCCTAGGACCGCCTGTACCCTGACAGAGGCCTCTTTATCACGGAGGCGTCTCAGAAGGCCCTGTCTTATAGCATGGTATAGCTCGTCGTCGATCGATTCTAGAGAGTTCACAATGTGGGCGGTAATTTGGGTTGCGCGGAAGCGCACCATCTTATCCTTGGCGCCCATAACAGGTTTCATCAGCGCAATAAGACTAGATGTGAGGCGGGAAGTCGGTGTGTCGGGATTGTGCTCCTCGTCTTCACCCGCAGCAAAGATCTCATTATCTTTCTCCGCGGCATGGCCGAGGAAAGTACCCAAAAAGCGTACAATTCGGTCTCCAACAGGCTCACTTTTCTTAATCGTGAGAATCCGAAGCATACAGCGGCCAACTTCCACATTGAATTCTTTCTCAGCCTCCGTTTCCTCACCAGCAATCAATGCCTCCTCGGGCTCTTCGTCCTTTCCCTTATTTTTCTTTTGTGAGATACCACAGCAAAACTCCTGAAGCTTGCGCAGGCGCACAACAAGCTTTCGATGTCCAGTAGTTGAGCGCTGAGCATCCGCAAAGATCAAGCACACATCGCGACGCAAAGTGGGGGATGATGTTGGCTCTGTTGGTTCTTCGGGGATCGCAAACGATGGCGTAACGGAGCCAGCACGCCCAGACGCAGAGGGCTGTGCTGACGATCTGCGTGTTGTCGCAGATGTCGAACGGGCGGCGACTCTGCCAGGCATTATGGTGTTGTTGTTGACGTTGATTATTCGAAAGCGAAAAGCACCGCACTGCGGGACCGATCAAAGGAGTGGAGGCCTTGGCGGTAAACAAACAGCCCAAAACGGGAGGCCGATAGCCCGATAAGGGTAGCAGGCGCACGTGAGCTGACTAATGCCGACCATCGGAGGTGCGGGAGCTCGTCATTCCCCGAGGGTCGATGGGACCATTTATTCCTGCATTGCATTAATTCAGGATGTTTCGTCAAAGTGTCCGGCGGTTTGCCACCACGGCGGCTCGTGCTGCTGGTGAGGGATCCACTGCCTACTGCACCCGGGTGTCAACCGCCCAGGGCGTTGTCAATGGATTGACCGAGGGTATGTCTAGCTCCGAGCGCACACTTGCATATACTTTTAGCTGACTTATACTACAGCGATTGGAAACACCCCGCTTATCCGATTGAAGAAGCTCTCCGAGCAGACCGGCTGCAATGTTCTTGGAAAGGCCGAATTCCAAAACCCCGGAGGTAGCGTGAAGGACCGAGCAGCGCTTTTCGTGGTCAGAGATGCCGAGGAGAAGGGACTTCTGCAACCCGGTGGCACCGTGGTCGAGGGAACGGCCGGAAATACTGGCATTGGACTGGCGCATGTGTGCCGGTCCAAAGGCTACAAGCTCGTGATCTACATGCCTAACACCCAGTCGCAAGGCAAGATTGACTTGCTCCGCCTGCTGGGAGCGGAGGTATACCCAGTCCCCGCAGTAGCCTTCGACAACCCCCAAAACTACAACCACCAGGCGCGCCGGCACGCCGAGTCATTGGACAACGCAGTCTGGACCAACCAGTTCGACAATATTGCCAACCGCCAAGCACACATCGACACTACCGGGCCCGAGATCTGGGCACAGACCGAGGGCAAGATCGACGCCTTTACCTGTGCTACCGGAACCGGAGGTACCCTGGCTGGTACCACGCGCTATCTGAAGACCATCAGTGACGGACGCGTCAAGAGCTTCCTCGCCGATCCTCCGGGCAGTGTGCTCCACAGCTACATTCAAAGCGGTGGTACCCTGATCGACCGGTCTGGTAGCAGTATCACTGAGGGTATCGGCCAAGGCCGTGTGACAGATAACCTGCAGCCCGATATCGGTTTGCTGGATGGATCTGTGAGCATCAGTGACGAGAAGACCATCGAGATGGTTTACCGCTGTCTGGATGAGGAGGGTCTGTACCTTGGTGCCAGTTCAGCGATGAACGTGGTGGCCGCCAAGGAGATCGCTGAGAAGTTGGGCAAGGGTAACACCGTTGTGACCATTCTCTGTGACGGTGCTTACCGGTATGCGGATCGCTTGTTCTCTAGCACCTGGCTCGAGAGCAAGAACCTGCGTGGTTCCATTCCTAAGCACCTGGAGAAGTATATTGTGTTGCCTTAGGAGTGTGTATAAATTGAACAAACTGTATTTTTGTCAGGTCTTGCAACTTTTAAAGCAGTAAATTGGGACTGGTATAGTGATTGAATGGATCTCCTTAACTTTCCATTTGGCACGGGCATAGTATGCGGTCTGCTAGAAAAGGGACGGTGTGATTTGACCCAAATCGGATATTTGAATAAGCCGAGGAATTTCATGGAGGCTCTTCATAATTTAGTTAATAATATGAGCATAAATAATTTGGTATCAATTGTGAGAGGTGAGTCTCAAAGGCCAGTGGTGCATGTATGTCCACGCTTAGTATTGTACAAAAGAGTAAAGAGTCAGACCCCCAGGGATCTAATATAAGTGAACCGCCATGCCAAGGCCATGCAAAGCAGGCTCAAACAAGACATGCAACGCAAGGGAGACAGGCCAAAGAACCATCCTCCCAACAAAATAGACAAGAACAACCGAAAACGCCCGCAATGCTTCCGTTCTATTCCAGAACGCCAGATGCCGTAGAAATGTACAGGTGGAAAATCGCAACCAGGTAAAGCAGACTGGCAACAAAAGCGCCAAGCGACGAAACAAGGCCGTGCTTTCGCGTCGGATCCGAATCGAGCGTTTACTCATCACCGGGCATTCTCATGTAGGCATCAATAGCCGCACTGAACGCCGCAAAGCCAGCGCAACCGAAGGCCGCAGCCTGGGGACCAGCCTTTGCGCCGAGAATACCACCGGTGACACAACCAGCGGCAACACTGTTGGTAAGATCGTTCTTTGCGCGGAGGCCTTCGATGCAGCACTCGGTGCCGGAGTAAAGCGCACCGACGATACCGAAGTTCTTAGCCGAGGACCAGGAGCGGGCGCCCATGTCCTTGAAACCGCGGCGGACTTGTTCGCGCCAGGGGAGGTCGGCGATGGCGCGGCCCTGGGGCGTGAAGGTCGAGTCGTAGGACATCTATCGCGGGTGGATGTTAGATATGAAATATTGCTCGAGTATTCAATTGCCGACTTACACTGGCCATGAAGAGACCGAAAGCACCACCAAGACCGAAACCCATGGTACCCGAGATGACTGTTTTGATCGGGCAGGACTCCATACCACGTTGCATCTATACCGAGGATTGTTAGAATTAGACGGAATACAGGTCAGGATCGAGGACGAACCATCTTGATCATAGCCTGTTCTTGATCATTCATTCCCTCGGTGCCCGAGTTACCTCCCAGGGAGGTCATCGGGATCGCCGTGCCTGTGGTGCCTGGAAAGGCCATATTGAAGGTTGACGCGGGTAGGTTTGGATTGAATATAGTCCTATATCGCACTTGTTGGATTGGATCCAAGCTGGCCTGAATGATCAATCCACTGAACTTCGGCGAGAGAAGAAACCGCGTGAGCAAGTAATATACAGAACGCGGAGATCTTGCGGAGGCGAGTAACTGAACCGCAAATTTATTTTACGGGGAACTAGAAAAGTCTAAAGCGCAGTTCGGCACGTGATGTTCCGGCCCGCAAAATCATCGCCGTTATCGGTACGGAGTATACGTATAGATAGAGGAACAGAAAACATTATTTGACGTTGAAAGACGCAAAAAGAAGACATATGAAAACTCGTTGTATTCGTGAAGCTAGAGAAGCAAAAATAGCATTTGTAATCAAACCAACGTATTTCAACAATCTTGAAAGCAGTCGATGCCTGTAGAGTTCTTCAAAAAGGTAGCAAAGGAAAGGAAATGTATCGACAACAGAAGAAGCAACGCTCTCATGGTATAATTCGAAGGTCGTAGCCCTACGTGATTCCGTAGATAGGGCCGAAGAAGAGGTAGCAAGTATAAACAATGAAAGGAAAGCAGGAACTTTGTTAGTCCTTCTTGCTGTCCTTACGACTGAGCGAAGAAGAGGAAGCTCGATCCGGAGAAGGCGACAGCGAGCGCTCCCATTCCGCCATCAGATTGGATGCAGTACGTTGAAGCTTGGAAGGAGCCAGCTTGGTAATTGCAGGCCAGGGAATACTTTCGGAGACACTAGGATTAAGTGCAGAAGTCGGGTTCAAATCGCCAAAGCTAGGAGCGTGTCAGCGCATGACGAGGTTGTCATAAATGAAATCAGAAAAGGTCGAACGGTACCTAGCGCTGGTTCGAGGGCTGCTACCCTGTGTAATAGGTGACTGGTCGTGTTTGGATGCAACTGTGGATCGGCTCGATGAGGGCGTGTGCGTCTTCTGCCCGGATAGGGGCGTGTCCCAGCTTTCCCAGTTGTCGAGATCTTCATCCTGTGCGTCAATCGAATTACTCGAGCGGTGATCGCGCTGTTCGTCGGTCGCCTCGTTTCGGTTGGCGGCTTTGTTGTCGGAGGGGGTGCGCGGAGCGCTCGGAGACTTCTGAGCGGGTGTATCAATGCCGAATTCATTCCAGAAAGATGTGGAAATTTCCGCCGGCTTGGTGTCTTTACCAGTTTTTGTCTCGGCCGCTGGCCCCCTCCCCCCGCGAAGACGATGACGATGATGATCGTGATAGCTTGCCGTCCGCCATCAACCGTTCTCTACTCCGTGACGCCAACGAATCCCGCTTGCGACCATGTGGCGGTGCCAATGAGCTGGATGGTGAGCTTCGTGTTTGCGTGCCGCTGATTCCTTCTTCGCCCACCGTAGCTTGTCGGATATCTTCCAAGAATGTCCACAGACCCTCGCGGAGATCGGATGCCATTTGCTTGCCTGTGCGTACCAAGGCCTCGCGTGAAGGGGGAGGAAGGGTCTTGTGCCACTGTGCGAGTAGATGTTCCGGTACCTGGCTCTCGTCTAGTTGTGCATTCATCAAAGCTGGATTGTTGCGCTCGACAGATGGTAATGTTGCAGATCGCGGAGTACGACCCACGCGTTCATCTGAGAGACCTAGTTCTCCCCGGGAAGACATGCTGGGACCGGAGACTGGCGACAAAAGAGACAACGTCCGTGTATGTGTGCCGTGAAACACGCGCCGACCATTACTCCCGATCTTGGTTCCTGGTGCGGCGGCGACAGCAGCACGCACGCTAGACCGACGATCTAGATCCCGGCTCATCCGTTCCTGTGACACTGTGGAGCTTGTAACTGAGCTCATGCTCTGTTCCCGGGCATGTGAACTTGAAGCCTCGGATGTTGAGAAATCAGGCGCCCGCAGGGGCATGAGTGGCTCCGCGTGGTTGATCTCGGCCCGTTTCCTAGACTTTTCCGACATTGCCCATTGCTTCTTAATTGTCACTAGGTCTGCTTCGGCTCGGGTGAGCTCCTCGCGTAGCTCCATGACCTTCCGTTCCTGCGAGGCGATGGCCCGCAGGAAGTCATAGCCATCGTCCGGGACCTCAAATGCCATAGGAGTTCCCGGGGGCTGAGCAGGGGAGGGACGAGTCGAAGACTGTGTAACTGGGGTTATAGAGCCGGGTGAGGTGATAAGATCGGATGTCTCAGGTTCGTTCGGATTGATAGGGAAGTTCAAGGTGAGGCGTTTGGCATGGCGGGCCGTCTTGGCACAAGGTAGTGATGATATTCTTTTCTGGGCGACAGATGATGACCGTGAGAGACTGGAATGGGAGAACTGCTCGGAAGCAGAGTCCGGTTGTGGCGGATTTGAATTCTGGTTATCCGGAAATGGACCGTCAAGGAGGCTCTCCGCTCCTGGAATGCTCTCCATTGTGGGCCAGCCAGTAGGAGAGATCAAGATATTTCAAAAAGTCATAAGAGAATAAACCAAAGAAAAAAGAACAACAATAGCAAGAACAACAAGAAGAACAGGGGAGTTGAGAAGGGAGAAAATAATAGCTCCGAGTCTCCTGAGTCTAGCCTACAGCGGGTCCCGCACGAGGCGGTGTTTCAGGGGGGAATTAAAGGCATTAATTTAGCGTCTTATTAAGCCGTTTCGTGGAGTCTTGGCGTATGCCGAGGTCTAGATCTACTACGGAAAGCTGTTGTAGGTAGTCATGGTTCAGGAGTATATCAACAGTCAAGGCTAACCTTGGAACCTGGAAGACCGAAGCATAGCGGTGTTTACCTAGGGTTTGCTTGTTGTGTCTTCATCTACAAGACGAGTCCCCTATACAAAGTTGACCGTGTCTATAACCTAATTAGGAAAGAACAATGTGCTTTGTTGTACTTCAATGGAAGGTACAAGCGACTCACAGATCAGGAAAGTAGGAAGGTGTCCATTCCGGGAAGGTGCGTTGTTCGCCTAAATACAGAGAAGGAAAGAAAGAGAAGCCAGGCGAGAATCCCAACAGTGACGAACTAGGAAGGGACGATGGACCGGTGATCGTACTTGCCCAGATGGGAATGGGAAGGACATTCCTTTTCCATACTGGGTAAGCAAGGCAAGCGAGGTAAGCGAGTAATATCCTCATTTGCATAGTTTGTTGAGAAAGCCCACGAACCCATGTGATTGGGGTATAAAAGGGTACCTCTCCCCCCCAGCTCTCTTCTCTTCTTCTTCTCTTCTTCCTCTCCCCATCCCTCTGACCACCATCTCTCCGTAGCCCACATGAGACAGCGTAGGCAGAGGGTCCTGTAGCACCTGCTGCCTAACCTACCACAGGGACATCAACATTACCATGTTGTGGAAGTCCATGTAGGTCAGCAACAAATATCAAACCGGGCTTTCTCGTGGACGTTCCTGAAGTCGTGGCTCTCATTGCCATTTGACGAGTCCCACGGAATACATGAGGGGTGTAAATCTCCGTGGCCGATAACGTGTAGGTTTGAGTTATGTCTAGACTAGTGTACACCTGCTAGCTTCATGTGCCAGATTGAGCCGAATTCAACCTATGGGGCACGTCGCTACTTCAAATTTTGTGGGGTCTGATCGACAATGGTTTTTAAGCTTATTCTCCGTAGTGACATACTAAAAAAAAATTTTCGATGATTGCGGCGATGATGGCCCTCTTTATATGATCAAGAAAACACCGGTCGAGATATAAATAGACCTCGGGAATATGCAGGGGTGACACGTCCTCCGTCGTTCAACCGCACCTACTCCGTAGCCAAGCGCGCATTCGTTAAGCACCGCATCTTCGTCATGAACTGGAGAGTGAGTAGTATGCGTGTTTGGTCTAACACAAGGCTTATTCAAAGATATGGGATTTCCTCCCCATTTCCCATTTCCACGTACCGACTGATCTCTCCATTTGATCGAAAAACAGCCTGGTCGCGTCGATGCTCATCACAGTGGACATCCAACCCGAGAGTCTTTCCAGTCTTTGATCTTGGGCTACTGGATTCGTCTGTCAAAATTGAGGAAGAGCTTGCAACGGGATATGAGCCCAATGAGACATACACATATCCCGTCGAGGATGGAGAGACCTTGAACGACAGATACCGAATTCTACACAAAATCGGCTATGGGCCCACGGCAACGGTTTGGTATGCTGTTGATCTGACGTGAGTGTCTCATTTAGCCCGAACGATACTGCTCTAATTCTCACTTAACAACAGGGAGCCAAGAATGGTTGTTTTAAAGATCTATGTGGTGGACCATATGCTCAAGTCTTATGGGCGGCTCAATCCACCGAAAGCATACCAGCAAAGCGAGTGCCCTCTTCACGAAGTTAGCGATCGCTTTTCCATCAAGGGTCCTCGCGGCCCTCATATTTGTGTTGTCCACGAGGCACCCTCGCTAGACCCAGGACAGATGCACGCGGGAGACAAGCTGGATCTCGAGTCGACGAAGTCTACTATAAAACAATTACTGGTCATGCTGGACTTCCTGCACACAGACTGTTATCTTACTGCCCGTATCTTCACTCGCCATCGTTTCTGGGATGACTGACTGATCCTCAGAGTAGGCATAATGCCAAACGCAACATTTAACGTTGATTCCAACAACAGACGAGTTGCTGGACCCAGCAATGACGAGCTTCTCACCCCAATGATACTTCCGGGCGACGGTGTTCCCCTGCGTCTGGATTTCCCAGGCGATGATATGTCAGGTATCGAGGAGAAGCATTGCAGGCCTCCCGAACAGGTCCTGAAATCGAAATCGGATCACAGGGCAGAAATTTGGGGTACTGCTGTCGTTGTGAGTACTTTATTTTGAGGCAAAAGAAATACGCTTACATAGTTTATTCAGGCATGGAACTACATCAGTTCCCAAGGGCTCATTGACGGACGAAACTCAGATGGAGCCTTTGACGACCGGGTCCACATTGCAGAGCTAGTTGCTCTACTTGGCCCTCCTGCACCAGAGTTCCGCGAGAAGACACGACTAGGCTCCATGTTCTGGGATGAAGAAGGGACTTGGACGGGCCAAGCTCCCATACCAGACCGAAGCTTGGAGAGCCTGGTAGCTGGCAATTTCGACGGCGAGGATGTGGAAGGCTTCGTGCAGTGGATGCGAAAAGCACTACAATGGGATCCAGAAGATCGGCCAACGGCTCTGGGGCTCTTGCGTCATGAGTGGATGTCCCGGAAGACGAAGCCTGTGGAGAAAGAGGGTATAGATGTGTTCGACGACAACACCCAAGTCTAGTCTTTCTATTTGTATGCCATGTTTAGCTCTGTATAAGTACATTCACATAGCTTATAGCTTCACTCAGTCAAACTCCACTCAATAAAAGGCCTGTTGGACTACAAGTTGAAAGGGCATAGATGCCATAGTCAACATTAGAAATCACCTTTGCCGTGCTAAGGTCATCGAATTTGAATCCTATACCAGTATATATGCCCTAGTATTCTATTATATATTCTTTCTTTATCTTTTCAAAAGCCACGAAGCAGCCCTGGAGGTCAATACCTCGGAAAGTAGTAGCCAGAGATAATCTATCCATCAATGGATTGATTCTGAGAATTTTGCTTCTGTAGTTACTAGTAACCGTGGATTTTGGCTGAATTCGACCGTCATGATAGATATGTGGTTTTGGGGTCTTGGTCCCATTTCTGCTCATTATAGTATAACCAGCCAATCAGCTTTCAGATCCGCCTGGTGCCTCAGCATCATTGGTCTAGTGGTAGAATTCGTCGTTGCCATCGACGAGGCCCGTGTTCGATTCACGGATGATGCACTTGTTTTTTTGTTATTCAATCTAGCCCTGGATTGGGGAGTGATTGGATGGATAATAGCTTTTGAACCTCCTACGTAGAAATTATATCCATAGATGTTCGGATGCGGGAGATGGTGATATTGTACTCCGTAGATGTCACTCCATTGGGGAAGCCCCAAGCTTTTTACCTACTACACTCCCTGCTATCCTTTCTACTCAGCTCGAGTCTCAGCTCAGCTTCCCGGTAGTTAATCGGCTAAAGTGGCACTGAATTGCCTACTAAATTGGCATTCGAATATCAGGCGCGTTGAGGCCTACGAAACACACAAAAGTCGTGACGCGACCCGCGTCTCGCAATAATCCAGTCCCGATCCCAATCCCAAACGAACCACCTTCGCTCACCACCATCCATCTATCGCCCTATTGTCAATACCGCGATGCAAGCGATACCCACAGAAGAGCAGCCGCTGAGCATGGCCCAACCACAGCAAATTCCAGTACGACCAAAGCGAAAGCGATCGGATCGCCCATCCCATGAATCCATGTCTCAGCTTATCCGTAATGTGAAAGGATGGAATATCATCGAGATCTCTGCCGGCGGACGAACTGTCAAGGAAGGTGGTCTAGGCACAAAATACGAAAAATGGATTGTTTGCGAGGTAAGTTATCTTTCGGCTCATTCTATCTATGGATGATCATAATTAACCCCGGATAATCTTCCTCTAGTACCATCCTGACTGCTTTGTTGGGTTACACCGTGAATATACTGTCCTATCCATTATTTCTCAGATTCGTACCCCGATCGGTTACCCACGTATCATACGCGCCGATTTCAAGTCTGGTATCATTGTACAGACCTCGCCGAAGGTTTTCTGGAGACCACTTTGGCTCCGTATCAAAGAGCCGGTCCTTGATCTCGATTCACTGCTTCAGATGAAGCGTGAATTGCTCGAATATATCCGATTGGTATACGCTAAAGGTGTTGGATATAAAGTCAACCCGAATAAGCTATTTCCTCTCAGAAAATCGGAGGGCGGTTGGCTACTATATTTGGGTGGTTGGGGGGAGACGAAGTTATGTTCGACACCAGATCGAATCCAATCAGCCGTGTGGAACGCACAAATCCAATCAGCCGAGTGGAAGGCGCAAGAAACGGAGCAGTTGAACGGGGTAGAGCAGATGTTCACTGAACTTTGTACTCGGCTGGATGAAAGGTTAAAGCAATAGCCTCCAAAGCTCAGAGCGCGGTGCATGGATCGGAACCAAAGCGAGCCGCAAAATGCAACGATATGGCCAAACCAAACGACAAGGATGATGAAACCCCTTTGTTAACAAATCCCTGACTCTAGGAATAAAATCCTTCCCTTGTTATGCTTTGTATTGTTGAATATTCTCCAGTTTCTTGCCATATACCTCCAGCTCGCCCAGCTTCTTTGCCAGGAGTTCTCTCGACTCTCCCTAGCCCACAATCTCATCCATATTGTTCTTTCCATTTACCAGCATCCACCTTTGTGACGTGCCAGATCTTGCAAAGGAAGCAGAGTGCATTCAATTCAAAATAACTAAGGTGGAGAGAAAGAAGAAGCAAGTTGCAAAGTGGGAAGCAGCCTATTGATATAGCTGCCACTTTGCAAACAATGCAAACCTCGATCATCTCGCTTAGCTTTTTAAGAAACAATCTTTCTAGCAAACATGCAAACAGCAGATAGTCGCCGATCCGCAGAGTTATAGAAGAGACAATCATGCAGACGGTAATACTTATTTCTTATGAGATCCTGAAAGCTTTCCCTCCTCTTCATCTAAGATATAATTGAGCATTTCTCGATGCTTGAAATAATGGCTGGTTATTATCAGGCAGCTCTCAGTTCACCAAATCCCAATCTTCAATACTCAGTCGGTCAAAAAGAAGCCACCAAGGTGCTAATGCGAATAACTGGTAAACCCATTCCAGATCCACCACTCCCACAATTTTGAGATCATCCTGACCCCTGATAACCACGTTTGCCGGGCTAAGGTCATTGCCGATAATTTTGAATGGGCCGTGATCGTAGTCTTTGTTCTCCGTTCACCCTCCGGTAGAACGACAGAATTAGGCTGATCTCAAAGCTGTTGTTGGTCTTGGTGGATGGTATGGTGCAAATACTCACTCGTCGTCGAGAACCCCTGAGTTCGGTCCCCTACGTTAAATTAGTAGGCGTGTAACCACCAAGGATAGATAAACCAACCAAAGATATTCCCTCCTCCGGTCGTGCACTGTCATCGTGGGCGGGCGTATAGGAGCACAAACCCCAGTCACTGGCGTAGGTAGACTTCCGATGTGTGGGATGTCGATCGTGAAGAGTTGGAGTATGTAGATAGATTCGACATCGGGGTCCGGAATTTCCTCCTTTAGTACCGATTTTTCGTGCCGCAAGTTCGCTGTCTGAGAGAAACACCCTCGATGAATTCTATCAAGATAAGTGGAGGCTATTGATTTGATCCGAAAGAAGACCACTGTACCAGTTCCAGAAGTCTATGGCCCGGGGTCTTGCCGAGTCTAATCCGCTTGAACTTGGCCTGTTTCCATGGCCACTTTCTCATCGGCGTAATCAGAAGAAATACTACTAAGGCGGGGAAAACGAAGCAGATATGTATACTATTACATCATTAGAGAAAAATTTCTGGCAGAGGTTATAGGAACCGTTCATAAACCTATCGTCGATCGAAGTGGTAAGATGCTTGCCCTAGAAGTAACGTTGACCTAAGCAGAAAGTGTTTCTATCCACGCGGACTCGGTGATTCTGTGAAGTTATATCTCCTCTTTAGCCCGATAAAGGATATCTAGGCATTTTGTATAGTCTATGATGATAGAAAGGGGCTATTGAGCCGATGACAAGGATACATAGTGAAGAGGGGTCCCTAGGATAGGGGCACCGACAGCCCTGCCTGCGAAACAGGTGTGAGAGCAGAGTCGTCACTGGGAGTATTAGGGTGCTAGAGAGGAGAACACCATGGGGTGACTACTGAGAAGTGAAGATGGAAAGGTGTCTGCGTTGCTATCTATGCCTCGGGAGTGCTTTTGTCACGTAGCCGCTTAGTCATCCTGCTCTGGAAACTTCCACTGCAATAGCTATGAAACGTTGGGCTCGAACAGATCGCTGCAGGTGAAGTATATAGGACAGGTCCACAGGGTCTGTCTTAGATTTGTAGGTACGGTGACTTGCAGTACAGACTGCCTAGAGCATGGAACCCGTAGCTTCACCTATGATTCCCTCCACAAGCAAACCTTGTAACGTCACCAAACGGTTTCGTCCAATGAATATGCTCTGTGCACTGTCCTTATTATTCTCAAATTGTCGTAGCCATGTATGAGTTATCATGCTCTTAATATTTTTTGGTCATGCCCTAGAAATTTTACTTTTAATCATCTTCAACCATATAACATATATATCATTAAGGATGCCGTCAGACTGTGGTATGTCTAGGCCATAAATAGATACCGGGGTTTTTTGTCATAGTCTAGTGATAAAATATCAGAGGTTTGCGGCACAGGTTCTGTATCGACAGCGCTATCTCCTGCTTTTCTCAACTGAGAACTCCTGAGATCTGATGGAAGCTCTTGATATCGTCCTGGGCCGTTGAGTCCTTGACAGAGATAGAGAGAGGGTAAGGTCGTGGTGGAGTCGAGTTGTCACTTCTCGCGTATGTCCTCTTTTGTCTTGAATCAAAGGTATGCGGCACGGGTTCGAGAGCTCTTTGATGACCGTAGTCTGCGACGTGCCAGGTCTATTCAATAAAGAAAGAGTGCATTCTATTAAGAATAACCAAGATAGTAAGAAAGGAAGAAAGAAGAAGCAAGTGCAAGAGTAGGAAGCGGCCTTGTTATATAGCTGCTAACCACTTCGGGAAGTGGTTTATGTTTATCATCTGTAGGATACTTAACTAGCTCATTCTATTGTGCTTTGTAAACGTGAGAAGTTTGGGTTGGTCAAAAGAGATGTACAAAGTACGGAGTACTCCGTATACTGATAGAAATTGATAGAATGGATACCCTGGATGGTTAATATCCTTGATATGAACTGAATGTATGTAAAGTAGCATAAACAGAGTTTATCATGAGGACTTGTGAGGTAGAAAAAGTGTTAATAACGTCACTTCAAATTATAGTTCTGACAGTGCTGATAATATAAGGAATGAACTTAATCTATAGGCCAAATCGCTTTTATCATTGCACTTGTCGCAGACAGAATATTGAGCCACCCAGCTTGGATGCCCAAATCCTCGATCTGACTCCTGGTGTCGTCCAAAGGACCGGGAAATGACAGCTACAGCCTTCATGCGAGGAATTAATATGAATAAGATGGAAAACGTCTACAAGGCGATCGAAGACAACTATCTCAAGGGTGGCTTCATTCCTCTAAGAATAGGTTTCTTCCTCCATACTTCAAGTTCCCATTATTGCCTGCAGAATTTCCTCCCATCAGTTCTCACTGTCTCCATCACTGTCTCCATCACTGTCTCCATCACTGTCTCCATCACTGTCTCCATCACTGTCTCCATCACTGTCTCCATCACTGCCTCCACTATCTATGGCCCCAAATTGTATTTCCTCATTTCCTAACCGTCTTCCTTGCGCGCCGACCGATGAAGCTAGCATTAACATCCCGAACAAAGCCTTAGCTGGATGCATCCCTTGTCCTGCTTCTCTATCTTGTCCGACCAACGCATCCCTATCGCATGTGTTCGGAATCCTCACACTATGAACTAGAATCCTTCCAACTTCGTTATCGCGGTCTGAACTTATGAATGCTGTACCGCTCGATTGAGATTTTTCCAATTCAGATGAAACTATTTCATTGGCTGAAGGAGATAAGACCTGACTTGGCCGATGCAGACTGGGACTAGTATCATTGTGTGAAGATCGAGTGGCCCGAGTGAATGGCATCGTCTGAGTTGCGTCTCCTATAACCTCCTCCCCGGCGAACCTAGGAGGACTCGACGGCAAATCATCTGCGACGGGTGATGAAGCGGATGGAGTTGAGGGTAGTCTGATATCGTCCTGGGCCATTGAGTCGGTGACAGAGACAGGGTAAGGTCGTGGTGGAGTCGAGTTCTCACTTCTCGCGTATGCTCTCTTTTGCCTTGAATCAGAGGTATGCACGGGTTCTGCAGCGACAGCGCTATCTCCTGCTTCTCTCGACTGAAAACTCCCGAGATCTGAAATAAAATCTGATGAAAGCTCTTGAAGAGGTTGAGGGTTCTTTGATGACCGTAGTCCACGCTCATGAACGAGCCGTGGTTCCGCCTCTTCTTCTCCTAAGAACTGCGCTAACACGAGCTCTTTATTGGTGAGGACAAATCCAAACCGTGTATAAAGCATTCGGGCGTAGTGCTCTACCTGGGATAGAAAGGTGAAATGGCATGAATGCGTGCCATCAATCGTTCCTTCAGGCTTTCCGTCATTCGCCCCACTAGCATTGAATCGCCGCCGGACCACTTTTGTATCACCAACCGCAACAACCTTTCCTTCCCGTGCAAGATATTGCAATTTTGGGAATGTAACATCGTCTGGTGTATATGTGCCTTCCAAGACAATCCAATCAGGCAAAATGGTAGTCCAGTCTCGAGTGGTTACAAGAGGATCAAAACTGTCAAAAGAACCTGGACACGTGATAATGGTAACGCAGCGATCTCCTGGAAGTGCGTGTTGGAGGGCGACATTGACACGAGTCACCAAGGTACTCGCGTAAAGGGCTTCTAGCATCCTCTCATTGTATATAACACGGGCTAGGTCTGGTAACCAGGCCACCCATCGAGGCGTGAATACTGAGTCTAGCGAGGTGCGTACGTCAGGGATTAGGGAGATGTTGGCTGAGTTGAATTCATCCCAGCGTTCAGGCTGGCCAAGGAGCTTGTATTGTCGTCTAATCGAAGTTGGTCGCACCGAGTCCGCAAGCTTGTGCCTTAGCTCGTCAGCATTCGCTCCCTGCCATGGCTCTAGGAAATCTTCAAGTCTCAAAGCCATGAGGGTCTCTGTGGCCTAGAGAACGGGTAGATTATGAATCATAGAGCGCCAATATAGAAAAGCGGGGGAGCCTTCGAATCTAGTATACTGGAGAAGCACGTATCGGGTAAGCAGGTATATGAATAGTTTAATACAACATAGTGAACTTTGGAGGGGGAAAAGATACATGGTGGAAGATGAGGGGTATTGTGATGGCGTGCCAGGTAAACAACCCAAAAGAGAGGTAGCGTAGTTCATGGCACTTGTCTGTCTGATTTGATAGCCTAGCCTATGCTATCCTATCTACTCAACTGCCCACTACTTAATCGGCTAAAGTGCCACTTGAATTGCCTCCTGGATCACCTACTAGATCACCTACATAAGTATCAAGCAGAATAAGGGGGCGTTTAAAAGCCTACAACATACGAAGTCGAAGTACTTGGGAAAAGGCGGAGTTCACATTCCTATCTAGGACTAGCGCGACCCAGTGATTTACCCGCGTCCCCTCGTGACCTACGTTGTACCTACCCGCGTCTCGCCAATCCCAATCCCCCTTCGCTCGCCACCATCTCTCGTCTATCGCCCTACACTTTTTTTCATTGTCACCATTGCGATGCAAACGACACCCACAGAGGCTCAGCAGCCGCTAAGCATGGCCCAACCACAGCAAATTCCATCACGGCCAAAACGAAAGCGATCGGATCGTCTACCCCATCAATCCATATCTCAACTCATCCATAACACGAAAGATTGGGAGGTCCTCGAGACCTCTGCTGAGGGACGAACTGTCAAGAGATCTAGAGGTCTAGGCACGAAAAACGAAAAGTGGACTGTTTGCGAGGTTAGTCATCTTTCGGCTCGTTCTATCGATGGATGATCCTTATTAACCCCTGATGATCTTCCTCTAGTTCCATCCCGACTGCTTTACTGGGTTACATCGTGAATACTCTGTCCTATCCATTATTTCTCAGATTCGCTCCCCGATCGGCCACCCACGTATTATACGTGCCGATCTCAAGTCTGGTATCCTTGTGCAGGCCTCGCCGAAGGTTATCTGGACGCCACTTCGGCTCCGTATCTACGAGGCGAAGCTTGACCTCGATTCACTGCTTCAGATGAAGCGCGAATTAGTCGACTATGTCCGATTGTTATACGCCAAAGGTATTGAATATAAAGTCAAGCCGGACTGGTTATTTCCTCTTAGGAAATTGTCGGGCGGTTGGCTACTATTCTTGGGTGGGTGGGCGGAAACGAACTTCTGCTCGATACCAGATCGAATTCAATCCGCCGAGTGGAAGGCGCAAGAAACGGAGCAGTTAGATGGGGTAGAGCGGATGTTTACTGAACTTCGTGCTCGTCTGGATGAAAGGGATAAAGCAATAGCCTCCAAAGCTCAGAGCGTGGCGCATGAATCGAGCCGACGACCGCACTCCCATAAAAAGCAAAAGCGAGACGCAAAATGCAATGATGTGGCCAAACCAAACGACAAGGATGAGAAAACAGTTTGAATGATTAATGCATGAATCGAGATGACATCTTGATCATACGGTTGGCGATGAACCACCCAAATGATAACCAGTCCATCAGCTTCACTACTTAGCTTAGTTCGCATGGACCTTTAATTTAAAATTATGATAACATTGACATGCGTAGCAACATCCTGCTCTGTACATCTTCTAGGAGCTTGCGATTATCCGTGAGCTCTATAATATTCGTCCTCTAGCTCCTATTTCCCATAAACTAGACAAACAAACCATTCAGATCCGAGTTCAAGACAGATGGTAAGGCCTCCTTTTCCACCATAACGAAGAATCCGTACCGGTCTGTCCTTCGCTGTCAATTCCCTGTTCCTCTGCGGTACAGTCGTGGCCCAGAAGAGCAACCCGTCCGTGATATTACAAGGTTTGAAGTGGAGACTGGTCTCGGGAAGGACCCACCTTCTTATTTCGGCCTCTTTCAATTGCCCGGCTAGACATAGAAAAGGACTCGACGGAGTAGTATGTATACAGTTTATGCGTATGATTGCCTTCATATACATCTAAAAGGATAGACCAGACGAATATCTCAAGCAAATACCTAAGAACGTTTACATCATGCTCCTATGCCCTCTAGTTAGTATACCTGCGATTTTTAATCGATACTCTCTATCATACCTGGTGCATCATTGGCTCATTGAATTGGATCATGATTAGGTGAAATTGTGACGTAAAAGATGTACAACATACGGAGTAGATAACGCGAATTGTTTCACGGCCCCACTGGGTATCATCAGATAAGACAATCTTCTGCTGACAATGCCCAGCCCTGCCCAGCCTTGGAGGTGCTGGTCTCGATAAGCTCAGTTGGAGATAATCCACATTGGCCAATCATTACCAGATTTGGGCCTACACCCAATATTGGAACGATCTTTTGCCGTTGGGTTCTCTGCTGTCGGGCTAAATCTACTCACTGAGCAGGGCACGAACCAATCCGTGTTACAGCTCAGTTCTTAGGCAAATCACTCTTGACAGTGCCACCGTGAGAAGGATGAGCCAGCGACTACGAATATATGGCTCCAATTTCGGTGAGAGGTCAGGTTATACATGAATTCATCCTTATATACTATATATCTAAGCTCCAATGACTAGGAATTGCTATGTAGCCTCCCACTATTGCTAAGATCTGAACATGCTCTCAAGATGCAAACCCGAACAATGTGGCAAGCTGCTTAGAGCCGTATCCTGCGTAAAGAGCAAGTTGCAGCATGATACGAGCCTTCTGGGGGTTCAAGTCCTGTCCACTGTACATATTTCCAGTGCCGTCTGTCTGGACAAAGCCCCCCATCGTCCTGCTGGAGACCACGACTTGCGTACCGTATTTCTTCACCAAGTTCTCAATCTCACTTGTTCCCGCCTTTGTCCAGCCCCCAGCCCCCATGCCAGCCAAGACTAAACCCTTTGCTCCACTCTCTACTGCAGAGCGAGCCAGCTTCGGGTTGAGTACTTGGTGCCCGAAAAGGATGTCCACTTCCGGCAATTCCGTGGCCCCCGAGACGTTGAAGTACACACGGCCATTGGGCAAGGCGGGAGGATAGTAGAACAGCGGCTTGGTATCCAGGAAGAAGCCCAGGTAGCCTTGTTCAACTGCCTTGAAGGTGTCTAGGGAATTTGAATGCGTTTTGGTCATGTAGAAGGCGCTCCCGATACGGTCGTTCAGCACAACCATGGTCCCACGGCCCCGTGCACCGGGGCTACCCGCTAGAGTGACGGCTTCCAGCAAGTTCATGGGTCCATCGGCGCTGATAGCTGTTGCGGGCCGCATAGCGCCCACCACGACGACAGGCTTCTCCGTCTTGATCGTCAGGTCCAGGAAGATGGCCGATTCCTCCAAAGTATCTGTTCCATGAGTGACGACGGCTCCCTGGCAATATGGGTCGTCCAGAGCCTCTTGGATCAGCGATGACAAGTTCAGGAGAATCTCGGGGGTGATGGACCCCGAATCAACGTTAGCGACCTGGACACCTTTGACATTTGAGAGGTTCCAGAGCTCAGGCACGGCTTGGATAAGGATGTCAACGCCCAGTGCACCGGCGGTGTATCCCGTGGTCGCGGTGTTCGAGGAAGCAGAGCCGGCAATAGTGCCTCCAGTAGCGAAAATGGTGATGTTCGGAAGGCTGCTGTTGAAGGGGGTGTCGCGCGCAACCAGGTGATGAGGGAGAATAGGTAGTACCGGAGCAGCTACACTGCATCCTAGGTAGGATAGGAAAAGAGTCCACGTGCTTAAAGAAGGACGCATCTTGGGAGAGGTGTGTATGATAAGGTATATGACAAGGTGTAGGGTGAGGGACTGGCTGCTCTTCCGGGGAATTTGGGATTCGCCGTACTTTTTATAGTTGACTCCATTTCAGATCCGTTTATAGTCACTGCTTGGCAATAGTAACTTTGCGATAACAGCATAAGCAGTTATGGTCGGAGAGTTTGCCGTTGGGGTCGTCAGTTATCGCGACCCATTGGCGTTGGAGTGATCCCGCGGGTTTGGGGTCACCAGCGGGACCTTGACTCAAATGGAAAATGACTCCATAGATTCTAAAGTGAAGCCGATTTGTTCCTTCGGTTAAATTGTCTGGTCTTCTTCAGTATATGGGTCTCATGCATAAAATACAGGTCTTGGCGTTCATGAAGTTGCTGAATCATCGAATAAATGACTGTTTTTATAGACTATTGCGATATCAAGTTGGAAATTTTATGAGCTACGTATGAATCCAAGTATCTTAGGTCTTATCTTGGGCTTATTTCCAATAAAAAATCAAGTTCGGAATGTGGTGGTGGAATTAGGTCAAGTTGGGGATTTACGAATGAATATGAGTTGTTTTGTAGACATCCCATGCTGTGTTATTTATTCCCCTTCATGGATCGCCCAGTTGGCATTCGTTTCTATTCCTGGTGCTAGCGTGAGTAATGGCGGATTCTATGCTACGAACCAAAGGGAATGTACTGACAGCTTTGATATACAAGAAAGATGGAAGTGTCCATGTGGTAGAGAGCTTCAGCCAAAGTTCGTTATCCGGATCATCATCTTCAACATACAAGTAGCCAGTATCCGCGCTACGGTTGTAGATTCCGCTGGATTCATCTTCAATCTTCTGCGCAGTTCCAGTTGACAGCCGCATGTATCTCTCCACAACTCCCGGGTCAGCCGGCTGACCGCCATAGATACCAGGAGAGCCACATTCGCATGCTCTGCATACGCTATACCGTAAACGTATGGATGAGTTTACACCGGATAAATCTGGATAAAGTATGAATGGCGTTTGCTTGATCTTAGTTACAGCTTCAGATACATCGAAGGAATGCGAAGCGATGAAAAAATCAATGTCACATTTCAGACATGTATGTTCTAGTAATCCAGGAGAATACCTAGGAAAAAAATTCACAAAAGACCAAGGGCCAATAAACAAAGACAGAAGCACAAGCAGCATTCTATCGGGGCAAAGAAAGTACACAAGAAAGCGCAAAAATATTACACCAGATCATTAGAAACTCCGGGACCAGTCCCACCAGAGTAAGCGACGGTAAACAGAATGAACGAACGGACACCAAGGATGCAGCCAATGGCAAAGAGTTGTACATGCGTCAGAACGCCAAATCGGGACTATACAGCGAATGGAAGAAAGAGTAAGAGGATGCGCTGAGGTTGATGTTGTGTGAGGATGATTCAGGGTGAGATTAGATGCCGCCCCAGCGGTTGCGGAGACCTTCTGACCATCGCTGGTAGAGGACGTCGGAGAGTTGTTTAGTGTGTTCCATACCGGGTGCAGCTTGAGCGGGCATGGATGGGGGCGACTGGGATTGGGGTTCGGGGACGTAGGATTGGCGACGACGGTGGTTTTTGAGGTGTGGGTTGTTTTGGGCCAACAGGAGACGTGGCCGCGAGGGGGAATCGGGCTGTGTGGGTGGGAGAAGAGTGGAGAGGCGGGGGTCTGCTTGGATCTTCTCGTTCATGATCCTGACGATGTGGTAGAGGCCTTCGGGGTCGACCATTTCCAGGTCGCTCCAGGCCTCTGCGAGTCTGGAGATTGCCTCACGTTTGTCACCATCTCCTGTTGTTGACAGGACTTCTTGGCAGGACATTCCCACTGCCTTGCTATAGGCACGTCGTCCAATCTGAGCCTCCTTGCTTGAAGTATCGGTAGACACCGTTTTCGGGCTTTGATTCTCATCATAGCCCTGCTTGGCTGTGTTCAGATCAGTGGGGACTTTGTCTGACACCCGGCGGAACTGTCTGACCGTAGACGGGCTGTTGCCGTAGGTTAAGTCTAGACCAAGAGGTTGTTTGACACCACTTGAGCGACGCTTGGTGTTAGCCCGTTTGACAGACGGAGACCGGTCGGTAGGAACTCGGCGAACGGTAGAGTTAGCCTGGTGCCTAGGTGGCGGCGGCGGTGCGCTTATATGCAAGTCCTCGAGCATCTGGGCTGGATCAGGCATTGCCTCCTCCTCCTCGTCGAATGTCATCCAATCCGTGCCCTTAGGCTTCCACATTGGAGGAGCCTTGATTGTATCAAAGACCCAATCGTCCTCATCGAGATCATCCGGCCTGGTCATGTTGTTGAGAGACTCGGCATAGTATTTCACGTCTCTCGACTCACCACGGCCAGCATCCCAGTCCTGCTTGCGATGAATCAGTTCTTGAAGTGACTCAACCTTGCCCGCATTCCGGATGAACTTGTGTCTCAGGAGCTCCTTCGCGCTCGGCCGCAAATCCGGGTCCTTTGTCAGACATTGTGCAATGAAGTCCTTGAATGTGTTGCTGTAGTCGTTTCCTTCGAGGCGAGGGGCGGGATTCTTCGGAATCAGGAACAGCACTTTCATGGGGTGTGTGCTGGCATGCGGGGGTTCTCCGTTGATCATCTCGATTGCCGTGATACCTAAGGACCAGATATCCGCCTTGAAGTCGTATCCAGCCTGCTGGATGACCTCCGGTGCCATCCAGAATGGAGTTCCGACGAATGTATTGCGCTGCGACTTGA